ACCTGCCTCTTGAGAAATCTGTGTGAAGGTGAGGAAGCAATAGTTAGAACTAGACATGGAACAACAGACTGATTCCAAATAGGGAAAGGAGTACGTCAAGGCTGTATACTGTCACCCTGTTTATTTAACTTATATGCAGAGTACATCATGAGAAACACCGGGCTGGAGGAAGCACAAGCTGGAATCAAGATTGCCAGGAGAAATATCAACAACCTCAGATATGCAGATGACACCACCCTTATGGCAGAAAGTGGAGAAGAACTAGAGTCTCTTAATGAAGGTGAAAGAGGAGAGTGAAAAAGTTGGCTTAGAACTCAACATTCAGAAAACACAGATCATGGCATCTGATCCCATCACTTCATATCAAATAGATGGGGAACAATGGAAACAGTGGCTGACTTTATTTTTCTGGGCTCCAAAATCACTGCAGATGGTGACTGCAGCCATGAAATTAAAAGACACTCCTTGGAAGAAAAGTTATGACCAATCTAGATAGTATATTAAAAAGCAGAGACATTACTTTGCCAGCTAAGGTCTGTCTAGTCAAGGCCCTGGTTCTTCCATTAGTTATGTATGGATGTAAGAACTGGACTCTAAAGAAAGCTGAGTGCTGAAGAATTGATGCTTTTGAACTGTGGTGTTGGAGAAGACTCTTGAGAGTCCCTTGGACTGCAAGGAGATCCAACCAGTCCGTCCTAAAGGAAATCAGTCCTGAATATTCATTGGAAGGACTGATGCTGAAGCTGAAACTCCAATACTTTGGCCACCTGATATGAAGAACTGACTCATTGGAAAAGGCCCTGATACGGGAAGAGATTGACAGCAGGAGGAAAAGGGGTCGACAAGGCTGAGATGGTTGGATAGCATCACTGACTCAATGGACATGAGTTTGAGTAAACTCCGGGAGTTGGTGATGGACAGGGAGGCCTGGCGTGCTGCAGTCCATGAGGTCACGGAGAGCTGGACACAACTGAGTGACTGAACTGAACTGACCAAAGTTTACTGTACTTCCATGTAGCTCAGTTTTGTCATCTATAAGATGGAAGGGAAGAAAGATCTTATCTCCCTCATGGAATTACTGCGAAGACTGAATGGGAACATATATGGAAACAAAGCATTTATTGTAGCCCCTAAACAGCAGGAAGTGCTCAGTAAAAACTGTGTTCTGAACATAGCTGCTATGATTTTTGACATCATTATGGTATCAAACAAAAGATCCTGGGATTGAAATGCACAGAACCATGAAAGCAATCCGAGGCAGTGTCAGCGAAGATAAGTGTGCGTCTGCTCCCTGGGTCTTGGTTCTGAGCTGTGGAGCCGCCTTGCCTTGAAGTCAGTCAGCGGTGTGGAGGGACTGGGTGTAGTCGGTGAGGCGTGGATGCTGGCGATGGCGCAACGTGGAAGATAAGGTGCTTTAGGCTCCAGAGGCAGCTGCCAGAGCAGAGGCTTCTCCGCCTTCACTAAGGCAGCGGGTGGGGAGGGGTGGCCTGGCAGCCTTATCTCCGAGGTTGGCCCGGAGCCTAAGCCCAGGCCATGGTGGCTGTTTGCAGGGCTGGTTATGGGGCATGCTTGTGCCTCAGCTTGCTCTTATCTAATCTGAATTGTCCTTGTTATCATTTCCTCGAGAAACTGCAGCCCAGAGGACTTGGTTGGTGGAACAGGATCGGGGAGGAGGGGTAGGTGTGAAAGAAGCCTGAAGTCCATCTGTAGAGAATTGGACTTTGGGGGAAGGGAAGGGGGCAGAGAAAGCATGGTAGATTTGTATCCAAACAGACCAAAACCTCTCAAAGTCCTGAGTCATCGTTTGTTCTCAGTCCTTAACCTGCTGGCATGACTGTCCTGCAGGCGTGCTCAGTCATTCAGTCATTGTGACTGTTTGTGACCCCACGGACTGGAGCCAGCCAGGCTCCTCTGTCTGTGGGATTTTCCAGGCAAGCGTACAGCAGTGGGTTGCAATTTCCTCCTCCAGGAGATCTTCCAACCCAGGGGCTGAACCTGCATCTCCTGCGTCTGCTTGCATTGGCAGGCTAATTCTTCACCACTGAGCCTCCTGGGAAGCCCCCGAATGTAGACAGATGCAATTTTAAGAATCAACTCAGTGGATCACTCTTCTCTTAGACATTCAGAAAAGAACAGGGAAGCTCATCTGTGGCTGCTATCCACTGACTCCCACCCCACCCCACCCCCGTTTAATTGGTTTCCATGACTTTGTCTTCCTCTGTAAATGTTTTCTTTCCATGTGTTCACCCCTTTGCCCTCAGCCAGGGCCTGGCCTCTCTATGTCACTCCTGTTCCGTAGAACCAGCACTGTGTCTCTTGTCTTTTATCAACCCAGAACCCCAGCACCAGCCATTTGTAGGGATTATTTTCATCATGTCATGAACTGAAGTGAAGTGAATTCACTCAGTCGTGTCCAACTCTTTGCGACCCCATGGACTGTAACCTACCAGGCTCCTCAGTCCATGGGATTTTCCAGGCAAAGATACTGGAGTGGGTAGCCTTTCCCTTCTCCAGGGGATCTTCCCAACCCAGGGATCGAACCCAGGTCTCCTGAATTGTAGGCAGATGCTTTACCGTCTGAGCTACTCTTCCTCAAAAGTCTTTGGTCCCTTTTTTCTGACGTTGAAGTCATGACTTTTCTTCGAAGCTTTCACGATGCTTTACAATATGGTGTCCGTCAACATAGGAGCTTTATTCCTCATCTCCAGCCATGGAGCCGTCCGTCCTTACCCACATCCCAACAAATGCACCATAACACAGTACTGGTTGGGAAATACTGCTGAGGTATCATTAGTGTGACTGTCCTAGTGAATCCTATTTTACCTGAGATGGGGAAACAAAGAATGGTGGTGAAATACTTTCTTTCATAAATGTGCTAAGACCTACCCCATGTGAGGGCTCAGTATGATGTGGGAAAGAGAATTTATGTCTTAGAATGAGTTCATTCCTACAAGTGTTTATGAAACATCTTATGAGGGTGTGAAAGAGAAAGGAACCTTGTTCCTGTTACCAAAGAGTTTGTAATCAATAGAGAGATGATATACAAGTTTGCAAAGTCACTTCAGTCGTGTCAGACTATTTGCGACCCTATGGACTGTAGCCTATCAGGCTCCCCTGTGCATGGGATTCTCCAGGCAAGACTATTGGAGTGGGTTGCCATACAAGGCAACTGGGTAATAACACAAGAGGGTCAGTCATGCCTCTCTCAACTGGAAAAGAAATGCACAACTTGAAAGTTGAGAATTATGTTTTATCTGGTGGACTTAATGAGGACTTAAGTCCAGGGTACAGCCTCTTAGATAGTTCTGAGGGACTGTCCCAAAGACGTAATGGAGGAGCCAGGTTATATAAGAGTTGTTTCAAAAATAGCAACAAAAATAAAAGGTAGTAGAATATCAAAAGTATGTTAGTCGCCCAGTTGTGTCTGACTCATTGTGACCCTATGGACTGTAGCCTGCCAGGCTCCTCTGTCCATGGAATTCTCTAGACAAGAATACCAGAGTGGGTAGCCATTCCTTCTCCAGTGGATCTTCCTGACCCAGGTCTCCTGCACTGCAGGTGGATTCTTTACCACTGAGCCGCCTGGGAAGCCCATCAAAAGATTACTGCTAATTAAAGAAAAACCGTACATCTCAAGTTCATTACTTTAGTGCTTTTCTATGTATGGGAAGATGCAGTCGTCATGACTTATTGACATTATTCCTTTGATATGTACTGTACTATCTAGGGCCAGTATCCTGTTTTTCTTCCATCCTGAATCCTCTCAGCATGCACCGTTGGGGCAGCTGCCGTGGCTGATGGCTTGATGGCTGAAGCATCCTTTGCTTACTGATATGACAGGCAACATTCTTTGTCCACACTTCATTCGTTGTGGAAGGCATGAGACCGGGTGAGGCTTTCAAAGGGAAATATCATCCTCGTTTTCCAAATGGTGAAACTTACCTGCCTGAGAGTTTAAGGGGTCATTCACAGTCACAGGGCTAGTAATGAGCAGATTAGGGTCTCCTAGCTTGTTGCTTTTTTTCCTGGACTGTTCTGCCTGCAACCTGCAGGACTGTGACACTCCCTGGGAAGCTGTCAAGCATGCTTGGGAGCAGGGGGAATGGGCATGGAGCTGGCATACCTCCCAGGGGAGGGGACATCTGACCTGAGAATTAAAAGGCTCAAGATGTTTCCATCATATTAGAAAGGAGAGAAGAAAGAATATTCCAGAAAGAAACTCTGTGAGCAGAGGCACAGAGCAAGTCAAGAGGAGCCACCCAGGGCAGGATTGCTTGGGGAATGGAGACTGCCTCCCTTTGCCTCCCCTGAGAGGCTGAGATAAAGGAGCCAGGAGAGGCTGGGGTGTCTCCAGACCGATAAACAGGCTCCACCCAGAGGCCAGTAGCATGTGTGTGGGGACAGGGACTGCGGGTGGCACATGCGCCCTTTCTCCAGCAAAAAGGAACTGGGGTGGGGGTCAGAGAGAGGCTATTTCCTGAATCCCCATCCTCAGGCTCAGCACCTAGAGCAGAAGCAGGACGGATTCTGAGAGCAAGAGAGACGGCCAGACAGACGGCAAGTACCCTAGAGAAGGCCATTCCCTTTGGGAGTCAGACGCCTAGGGTGGGAGGTAGAGCCGGTTGGTGTGTGTGTGTGTGTGTGTGTGTGTGTGTGTGTGTGCGCGTGCGTGTGCACGTGCATCCTCTGTCCCCCTCCAGAGAGGAGGGATGTGGGACTTGGAGAGTAGGAACTGGGGAGGAGAGGCAGGTGACGGGTGACGAAGGGAGTGGGGGAACCTCAGGAAGACAGTTTCATTCTGAATCCTGCCTAGGAGCACTGCCCTGGGATGAGCATACATGTGTGTGTGCTGGGGGTGGAGGGGGGGTAGGGGGGCAGGTGGGCAGGAGGTCTCAAAATGACCTGATATAACTCTCTGTGATGCACCCCCTTCCTGAACCAGCTTCTCTGTCCTGCCTCCAGTTCAGGAGGGTGGAGACAAAGAGTCGGTGGGGAGAGCCATGTGGACTGAGCAAGCAAGTGGATCGGGGACACGCAGGAGACGGGTGGTAAGTGCTCAGGGCAGCGTTCTGACAGCCCTTCCAGCTCCCAGGGGTCCAAAGAAGATTGGGTTCAGGAGAATAAGGGGCGTTATCTCTGTACCAGGGGACCCCAGCACCAACTATCTGTTCCTTCTTCCTCCTTTCCCCCTCCCTCCCCCATCCCAATCCTCTCCATCATGTGTTTTTTATTTCCTGGTTCTCTGCACAGAGATTTCCAGAAGAGGGGCTGCCCACCGCACAGGATGGATGGTGGCAAAAGACCTTGCGGGCGCTAAAGACCCTTCTGCTCTTCAGTATAATCCTTGGTTTTTCTCTGCTGCTTTGGGGCTACGTGTTCCAGGGCTGTGGTCCTTGTAAGCGAGATCCTAGATCCCCCCACAACCTACTCCCCATCAACCATCCATCATCCCGAGACCCACCATGCATCCTGACTCCTGGGGGCCCCGGGTTCCCAGCCTCATGCCCCATGAATCCCTCTCCTGCCCATCAGTCAGACGATTTGCTCCTCATCAGGGTCTCTGTCCCTTTCCCTAACCAGACATTTCTTTGCTTAGCCCCTTGGGGGGAGTCCTCATCGCTTCCTCTTTCACAGCTCTGAGCTTTTCCCCACAGCCCCTTGCAAGACATCTGTGTGTCAGGACCTCCTGGCTCTCTACCTGGCCTCTGGGAACACCAGTGTGGCCCCCTGCACTGATTTCTTTAGCTTTGCCTGTGGAAACGCCAACAGGACTGGCAGTCCTTTTCAGGCTCTTGAGGAGGAGAACAAGCGCCGAGTTCGAAGAATCCTGGGTAAGGGAATCAGGATGGAAGGTTCTCTTGCTGTGGGTGCTGCGGAGCCTGGGATGATCACTGCTGTCCCTCCCAAGCCTGTGTGGCTAGTGAACAGCCAGTTTGTACCATGCCCCACTGGCTCCTAGGGACCTGCTCGATTTGCTTCTCCATCGTCATACATTTCACAGCAGATCCTGCCTCTCTTCCATCTCTTCTGGTCCCTCTCATCCTCATTTCTTTACCTAGTCCCTATTCCCTCACCTTTCCCATCCATCCACAGATATCTGTGTTATCTCCCTTATATTTTCAGTTTCTACCCCATGCCCGATGTCTTCCCACACTGGCATCTCCTCAACACCTATTGCACTTTAATCCTTCTCCCCATCGCCCTCATCCTCCAGCCTTCAAATCCTTCTTGTCCCCTAATGCTCCCTTGTGAGTGTTACCCTCTCACTCCCATCATTCCCCAGATCCCCGCTCTCACAGTCATCTCCTGTCCTCCCTGAAACCTTGGACCATGGCTTGCCAGTTGAAGTGGAAGAAGCTGAGACTGGGCTGCCGGAGATGGGTGATTGGAGATGATGGTGGGAGGAAAGAAGTGGCAGAGTGGGTGAGAAGTGATGAGGGGCTTTATCTGGTTGTGTGTAAGGTAAGGAATACAGAAGATCACAAAAGACATGCTGGATGAAGGGGAGGACCAAGTTACAAACACTGGAGGTAGGAAGATTTCTGTAGATGGTGGCTCTGTTGAAAAGAACCAAGAGGCGAACCGTGAGGCAGGAACCCAGGCCACATAGGAAGGAGGAAGGTGTTCCCAGGATGTTGCTGGATGATGATGAGGACTAAGGGATGAGAATGCAACCAAAAAGATACCTTTTCTCTATAAGGGAGCCCAGGGAACCTGTTGACAGTACCAGTCAGAATTTGGAAGAAATAAATGTTTCCCTTTGCCCTCCTTCTTTTGATGGGAAGGAGTGGAGGTGGGTACTCCCTGCATAGCAGAGGGCCAGGCTTTCACGTAAGGTACAGAGATAAAAAGAAAATGTACCCTTCAGACAGATTCTGTGGCCCACAATAGAATGAAAGAAATCAGGGGGCCTGAGTGAGTGGGGTTAGATAGGAGAGGGTGGAGGGCTCCAGTGGTATGTGTTTGGGTAATTGTCATGTGTTTGTCTACTGGGATCAGAGAGAGGGGAGAGTCCGGACTAGGGGAGCCCTCACCAGTTTCTTGCCTTTACCAAACCCTTCCTCATGCTCTTCCACTCCAATCCCTCGAAAGTTCTCTGAATTCCCTGATTTTTCTGATTCCTTCTCTCATCTCCCTCTTACCTCTCGTTTCTACTCTTTCTGCTTTTTCCATACTCCAGTTATTCCATCTCTTCCCCCCACACCCTTGTCTCTTCCTCTTTATTGCCTTTCTCACATTTGCTTTCCTTTCTTTTTTTTTTTTTATGGCAGCCATTCCACTTGTCTTGTGGGATATGGGATCTATCTTACTCACACTGGCCCCCCAAGCCAAGGATTGAACCTGCAGAGTCCTTACCAGGGAATTTCCTCAACTTTTCTTTATCTTCCTCTTTGTCTTCTCCACGTTCTTATTCTTCCAACAAGTTGGTCCAGCTCATGACTTGCCTGGTGGTGCAGTGGTCAAGAATCTGCCTCCCAAGGCAGGGAATGTAGGTTCAACTCTGGTTGGGGAGCCAAGATCCCACATGCCACAGGGCAACTAATGGAGCCTACATACCTCATGAACCCAGCAGAGCAAAAAAGAAAAAAGAAATTGTTCCCCTCATCCTCATCCCTGGGTTCCTCCCCTTCCCTCCTTTTCCCTGGGAATCTTCCCTTCCTTGCCTATAAACCTTTCCATCTCCCACCCTCCCTGCTTGTCTCCAAGCTACCTCACTCCTTTAATTCTCCCCCGCTTCCTTTCTAGAAACTCCAGGTTCCTGGCGCCTGGCCCCTGGGGAGGAGAAAGCCTTCGGATTCTACAACTCCTGCATGAACACGGGTGCCATTGAGGCAGCAGGGGCCGGTCCCCTCAGACAGGTTATTGAGGAGGTGAGACTGGCACATCTACTTTTCTGGATGCAGAAAGCACACAAGACCAATGTGTGCTCAGGGCTGCCATTTTTTCTTGCCCATAGAGGATGGATCTCTTTCCCGAGGGTTTGGGAGGGAGGTAGACATGGCAATGATCTGTGGACATAACAAGACCTTGGCCGAAGGTAGGAAAAGGGGGACAGAGGTGGAGCCCTAGAAGGGGCAGGGGACTCAGGGTAGAAGTCAGGATGTAGTCAGAAGTCAGCTGGTGAGGGATGTGTTCTGAGAGACTGTATCCCTGTGTTGAGCGCTGTTTCTTTTCTTCCCAGCTTGGCGGCTGGCCGACCCCTGGTAACTGGACTCCGTCAGATTTTAACCAAACTCTGAGCCTTCTGATGAGTCAATATGGTCACTTCCCATTCTTCAGAGCCTATTTGCAACCTCTTCCCACCCCTCCATACCTGCCAGTCATCCAGGTGAGGAATGCGCTGGCAAAAATGCAGGCCTGCCTCAATTTGTTCTTAGACCAAAAAATGTGCAATCCAGGAAAGTGACTTAACTTTCTTGTTGTTATTGTTCAGTCGCTATGTCCTGTCTGACTCTTGGAGACCACATGGACTGCAGCATGCCAAGCTTCCCTGTCCTTCACTATCTCCTGGAGTTTGCTCAAACTCATGTCCATTAAGTCAGTGATGCTGTCCAACTATCTCATCCTCTGTCATCCCCTTCTGCTGCCCTCAATCTTTCCCAGCATCAGGGTCTTTTCCAAGAGTCAGCTCTTCCCATCAGTTGGTCAAAGTGTCAGAGCTTCAGCTTCAACACCATCCTTCCAATGAATATTCAGGGTTGATTTCCTTTAGGATTGACAGGTTTGATTTCCTTGCTATCCAAGGGATTCTCAAGAATCGTCAGCACTGCAATTCAAAAGCATCAATTCTTCGGCATTCGGCCTTCTTTATAGTCCAACTCTCACATCCATACATGACTACTGGAAAAACCATAGCTTTGACTACATGGACCTTTGTTGGCAAAGTGATGTCTCTCCTTTTTAATACACTATCTAGGTTTGGCAGAGCTTTTCTTCCAAGGAGCAAGTGTCTTTTAATTTTATGGCTGTAGCTCACTGTCCACAGTGATTTCGGAGCCCAAGAAAATGAAACCGGTCACTATTTCCACTTTTCCCCTTTCTATATCCCATGAAGTGATGGGGCCAGATGCCACGATCTTAGTTTCTTGAATATTGATTTTTAAGCCAGCTTTTTTACTCTCCTCTTTTACTCTCACCAAGATGCTCTTTAGTTCCTCTTTACTTTCTGCTATTAGAGTGGTATCATCTGCATATTTGAGGTTATTGATATTTCTCCCAGCAATCTTGATTTCAGCCTGTGATTCATCCAGTCCAGCATTTCACATGATGTACTCTGCACATAAGTTAAATGAGTAGGGTGACAATATATAGCCTTGATGTAGACTTCCCTGGTGGCTCAGATGGTAAAGCATCTGCCTACAATGCGGGAGACCCATGTTCGATCCCTGGGTTGGGAAGATCCTTTGGAGAAGGAAATGGCAACCCACTCCAGTACTCTTGCCTGGAAAATCCCATGGACAGAGGAGCGTTGTAGGCTACAGTCCATGGGGATGCAAAGAGTCCAACACAACTGAGTGACTTCACTTTCACTTTATTCCTTTCCCAATTTTGAACCAGTCAGTTGTTCCATGTAAGGTTCTAACTGTTGTTTCTTGACTTGCATACAGGTTTCTCAGAAGATAGGTTAGGTGGTCTGGTATTCCCATCTCTGAGAATTTTCCACAGTTTATTGTGATCCACACAGTCAAAGACTTTACCATAGTCAATGAAGCAGAAGTAGATGTTTTTCTGGAATTCTCTTGCTTCCTCTATGATCCAACGAATGTTGGCAATTTGATGTCTGATTTCTCTGCCTTTTCTAAATTCAGCTTGTACCTTTGGAAGTTCTCAGTTCTCGTACTGTTCAAGCCTAGCTTGAAGGATTTTGAGAATTACCTAGCTACCATATGAAATAAGCGCAATTGTGCAGTAGTTTTGAACATTCTTTGACATTGCCCTTCTTTGGGATTAGAATGAAAACTGACCTTTTCCAGTCCTGTGGCCACTTCTGAGTTTTCCAAATTTGCTGACACGTTGAGGGCAGCACTTTAATGGCCTCACTTTTTAGGATTTTAAATAGCTCAGGTGGATTTCTATCACCTCCACTAGCTTTGTTGGTAATAATGCTTTCTAAGGCCTACCTGACTTCACATTCCAGGATGTCTGGCTCTAGGTGAGTGACCACACTGTTATCTTTAGGGACATTAATTAATGTTGGAACCAGGGACTTGAGGTGAGAGGGAAGAGAGCATCAGGGCCAGTTCTGGGAAGACCATCTTTCTGGTCTTCCTTGTTGCTTCTCTGAATCATCCCTGGACACTGGACTCATTCCTTCTGTGGCCACTACTGCTCTTCTCTTATTTACTTTTCAGTTTCCCCAGAGGGAGCTTTTTAAACCAAGAGCTAATTATGCTGTTGTCTCTGTTTAAATGCCTTAAATGGCTCACTGGGTCATCAGGATCCGGCTCTTAATCCTTAAGGAAGCCTTGCAAGTCTCCCTCTTACACACTCCTCCAGCCTTATCTCCTCCTTATGCCCCAAGGCAAGCTCGTGCACTTATAGCTCCAAGGAGAGTTCTCGGTTCTTTGCGTACAAGGCTCCCTTTGCCTGCAGCACCACTCCTCAATTTGCACACTCAGCCTGGAGAATTCCTACATTTCATGTTTTGGTCTTGATGACTATCCCTTCCAGGATGTCTTCACTGACCCCCTGGCTGCGATGGAGGTGGGCCTCTCTGTCCTCCCATTTCACGTGCTCTCAGCCTTGAGCCCTGTGTTGAAGACTCAGCCTCTTAAGGACAGGCTCACACTTCATTCATCTCTGGTCCTCGGGACCTGGCACAGGGCCAGGCAGCTAGAGGCCCACGCCAGGTGTTTATTGAGTGGGTTAATAAATTAAAACCTTGGAGGCATCAGTATTGTGGGAGGCAGTGTGATGCTAAATATTTGGCCCCTACTTTTCAAAATTCCACAAAATCACATGAGCATGAATATACAAGAAATGATAATCCTTGTGAGGTGTTCTCAAGTTCACCTCTACTCGGTGTGCTGAGGAGTGTAACTGGTGTGGCCTTGGGAAATTAGTTAAGATCTGAAATCGTTAAGGAGAAGTTCAGAAGGGAGAATGTGGGCTGAGCCCTGAAACCTGGTTGATTCACCCAGGTGACAGTGAAGCTGAAGGGACTTAAAAGGGCTGTAGGGAAGTCCTGATATTAGGGAGGAGCCAGGAACAGTATGACCCTTCTGCGGGTCAATGAGGAGGCTGGTCTGTTGAACAGAGGATTTGGGGTTGGGGTGGGGTGCGGTGGGAGGCAAAAGTCAGGCTGAAGACATGAGGTTGAACCTGACTATTCCCAGCCTACCACATCAGACCGAGGTGATACCTTTTGACGTAATAGGGGGAAAAAAAAAAAAAAAACAGCTATGGAAGCCTTTCAAATGTGATGGTTTTACATAATGCCCAGGTAGAGTCAGCGGTTTTTGAGGTCAGTCTGGAAGTGCTGAGAAATCAATCTAGTTGAGCAACCTTGATTCCAAATGGAGATGATTGTGACAGAAATGGAAACTGGGGCCAGGAGGATGTAGACAACTTCATCCTAGTGGTGATTGATGGCCCATGGTGATTGGAGAGGACCTGGTGACTGACTGAATATCAATAAAAGAAGTGGAGAAATTAGAAAAGGACCCCACAGAGTTGGTTTGGTGTGAATGGAAGGAGGGTGGCTCCCTTTACCTTGAGACTAAATGGTCTTTGAGGGATATACAGGTGGAGAAAATGACTTGAAAAGGGACACCCCAATGAGGTGGGGCCAGAGAGGAAGAAGGGCCAGGAAGTGGGAGTCAAACCAGTTCCACCGAGTCACAAAGAGCAGGGGAGAGGCCCGTTCAGGTGGGAGGAGTCATCTTTGATTCCAGAGACTTCTGAGCTCCGAAAAGTATGGAATGAGGAGACACCATTGGAAACCTTCTCGTTGTTGTTGCTCAGTCCCTAAGTCTTGTCTGATTCTTGTGACCCCATGGACTGCAGCACACGAGGCTTCCCTGTCCTTCCCCATCTTCCAGAGTTTGCTTAAACTCATGTCCATTGAGTCGATGATGCCATCCAACAATCTCATCTTCTGTTGCCCCCTTCTTCTCCTGCCCTCAATCCTTCCCAGTATCAGGGTCTTTTCCAATGAGTCGGTTCTTCCCATCAGGTGGCCAGAGTATTAGAGCTTCAGCTTCAGCCCTAATCCTTCCAGTGAATATGCAGGGTTGATTTCCTTGTTTGATTTTCTAGACATAACATCAAAACAATCATGAAAATGGATTCAGCTTGTATGGAGTTAGAAAGAAGGGAAGTTGAAGTAGATGCATAGATTACTTTTAGGTTTTTAAAGTTTGGACGTGAAATGTGACAAAAGAGTCAAGTGAAAGCTTTTTTCAAGATAGCAGAAAAGTTCATAGCTCCAGGAAGAAGTATGGGATTGAAATCAGATAAGACAAGCCAAAAACATGGGAGAAAAAATCTTCAGGACAGAGATAAGGACACACCAGTGCCAGAACTAGAGTGAGGCACATGAGGGTAGTAGGCTATTTTCCTGGGGTGCAGAATTTAAGAGGGTACCAAAAACTCACTAATCAAATAGTATTTCAATAAATATTTTTTAAAATGTCAAAACCAATGCAAAAACTCACGATGAACAAAACATCACATTTTTGTTCACTGTGAATTAAAAAAAAATTTTTTTTCCTTCCCAAAATGGATCAAAACTCTATTGCAGACTTTTGGGGAGATATCTATGATTTTTAAAAATGATCAAAAATACATTGTGGATTTTAGGGGGAAATGCATGATGAGCAAAGTTTTACTATTATATTCTGTATGGATTTTCTTAAAGCATTAATTTAGATTTTTTTTCATTTATTTTTATTAGTTGGAGGCTAATTACTTTACAATATTGTAGTGGGTTTTGTCATACATTGACATGAATCAGCCATGGAGTTACATGTATTCCCCATCCCGATCCCCCCTCCCACCTCCCTCTCTACCCGATCCCTCTGGGTCTTCCCACTGCACCAGGCCCGAGCACTTGTCTCATGCATCCAGCCTGGGCTGGTGATCTGTTTCACCATAGATAACATACATGTTTCAATGCTGTTCTCTCTAAACATCCCACCCTCGCCTTCTCCCACAGAGTCCCAAAGTCAGTTCTGTACATCTGTGTCTCTTTTTGTTTTGCATATAGGGTTATCGTTACCATCTTTCTAAATTCCATATGTATGTGTTAGTATGCTGTAATGTTCTTTATCTTTCTGGCTTACTTCACTCTGTATAATGGGCTCCAGTTTCATCCATCTCATTAGAACAGATTCAGATGAATTCTTTTTAATGACTGAGTAATATTCCATAGTGTATATGTACCACAGCTTCCTTATCCATTCATCTGCTGATGGGCATCTAGGTTGCTTTCATGTCCTGGCTATTATAAACAGTGCTGCGATGAACATTGGGGTGCACGTGTCTCTTTCAGATCTGGTTTCCTCAGTGTGTATGGCCAGAAGTGGGATTGCTGGGTCATATGGCAGTTCTATTTCCAGTTTTTTAAGAAATCTCCACACTGTTCTCCATAGCGGCTGTACTAGTTTACATTCCCACCAACAGTGTAAGAGGGTTCCCTTTTCTCCACACCCTCTCCAGCATTTATTGCTTATAGATTTTTGGATAGCAGCCATCCTGATTGGCGTGTAATGGTACCTCATTGTGGTTTTGATTTGAATTTCTCTGATAATGAGTGATGTTGAGTATCTTTTCATGTGTTTGTTAGCCATCTGTATGTCTTCTTTGAAGAAATGTCTGTTTAGTTCTTTGGCCCATTTTTTGATTGGGCCATTTATTTTTCTGGAATTGAGCTGCAGGAGTTGCTTGCATATTTTTGAGATTAATCCTTTGTCTGTTTCTTTGTTTGCTATTATTTTCTCCCAATCTGAGGGCTGTCTTTTCACCTTGCTTATTGTTTCCTTTGTTGTGCAAAAGCTTTTACGTTTCATTAGGTCCCATCTGTTTATATTAATTTAGATTTTAAAAATTTCAATGAAAATATGATTGATCTTGATTACTGAGTTTTCAGTACCTCTCTTTTTTTTATGGAGCATGATTGCTTTACAAGGTTGCATTAATTTCTGCTGTACAACAAAGTAAATCAGCTGGATGTACACATATATCCCCTGTCCCTTGAGCCTCCCTCCCACTGCCCCTACCCCCTCCTATGGGTCATCACAGAGTGCCAAGATGAACTCCTGTGCCACACAGCAGGTGCACAATAGCTATCCATATGAAGCACGGTGGTGCATTTATGTCAACCCCAGTCTCTCCATTTGTCCATCCTCCCCTTCCCCGACCCCCACCACTATCCACAGGTCCATTCTCTATGCCTGCCTCTCTGTTCCTGCCCTGAAAACAGATTCATCTGTAACAGTTTTCTAGATTCCATATATACGTGTGCATAGGTGATATTTTTTTTTCTTTCTGATCTACTTTACTCTGTATGACAGACTCTAGGTCCATTTACATCATTACAGATGACCCAATTCCATTCCTTTTTCGTGGCTGAGTAATATTGCATTGTATATATGTACCACATCTTCTTTATTCATTCGTCTATCAATGGACATTTTACTTGCTTCCGTGTCCTGGCTATTTGCACCCAATATGGGCATCTCACACCACTTATCCTGGCCCTGGCCCTGGCACAGGCAACAGTTCCCTACAGGACATGGGTTATTATGCTTCTGTCTTGCTGAGCACCCCCAAACTAGTTGAAACACCCTCTTTGTACGTTTGCATGTTGGTACTCTTCCCCTTGTCCCTTAGCTCCAGTCCCTCTCTTCTTTGGCTCTCCTGATCTCCTGCACTCCATTTCCGGGGTCCCCCTTCCTGGTCCATCCCCATAGCCCCACACCTGGCCTCTCCTTCCTCCACATTCCCCACTTCTCTCAGCCTCTCTTGTGTCCAGATAGACCAGCCAGAGTTTGACGTTCTCCTCAAGCAAAAGCAGGAACCGAATTATGCCCAGGTAAGATGGTGTCACAGACAAAGGTCCTAACCTCTGACGCTGGAGAAAGGCAGGGGTTGATGGTGGCTGTGACTGAGGTTGCCTTTCCCTCAGATCCTGCGGGAATACCTGAATTACCTGGATCGCCTGGTAACCTTGCTGGGAGGAGAACGAAGCCAAGCGCAAAGTCATGCCTCCTTTTCCCTCGCCATTAACTCACAGCTGAACCAGATGCTGGGGTCTGGGGAGCAGCAGCGTGCCCAGGACAAGGTCTTCGAGATGGTCACAATTGACCAGCTGCAGGTGCCTCGAGCCAGGGACTGGGAGAAGATGGGCGTGAGGGTCTTGCTCCCAAACTTTCTTGATCTTCACGTCTTCTTCCTCCTCACTTCCTTAATTCTTAGTCCATCCCCTAACTTTCCTGACTCCATCCTTTTCTCAACCACCCCCCTTCCCACTCCCTCCTCTATCCCGAGGGAGGGGAACCCCCCTCTCTTTTCCTGTCCCCCCGCCCCCAACCTCTGTCTCTCTCCTTTAAGAGAATGGCCCCTACCATTGACTGGTTGTCCTGTTTGCAAGCGACATTCGCACCGATGGCCCTGAGCCCCTCTGACCACGTTGCAGTCCATGACCTGGAGTATTTGAAAAACATGTCGCAACTGCTTGCGGTGAAGCTGTCAGAGCACAGGTTTGCTCCACACTGGGGTGGGGGTGGTGGTGATGGAAAGAAAGTCTGAGGACCTGGAGGTCTCAGGGACAAAGGACACTGGAGGAGGCAGACTAGTAAGGGCCTTGCAGGAGGATGGGAGCGATCCAGGGCCATGAGAGGGCAGGGAGGGGGTGGGATGGACAGCCTAGGAGGGCATAGAGGAAATAGGAAAAGGGGCTTGGAGGGCATGGGTCGAGAAAACACAGACGAAACGAGGGATCCAGGTAACCAGTAAGACACAGGGTGTGCTGAATGGAGCAGAGGACATTTGCGGCATTTGTGTCTTGTCAGCAGCTGAGGGGTGTGGGTGAGAGAAGGAGGCACATGGAGGGGTTGGTGGAGGAGACAAAGGCTGGGGAAAGCTGGGGAAAGGCTGCTCCTCAGCTGTATTCGAGGATTCTGGGCCCCTTGTGGGAAAGATCAGGAAGGTCTTGATGGACCCTGAAGGTCGGGAGAGGGAGGGTGAGGCTCTGTGTTGGGCTCACTGCTGGCCCTGAGACTTTGTGGCCACCCCTTGGATACAGTGGCTTCCTCCCGGGACCTTGGGCTCAAAGCCATTCTTCATAGTAACTCAGTGGCAGCAACATTTAGAAGTTCCTTCAGAGGGAAGCAAACAACCATTCACACAGGTGCAAACCAATCTGTTTAAGGATAAAAGTCAAACCCAGTGAGAAAGTTGAGAGCAGGGCAGAGAAAGGTCCTGGGTCCCAGCTTTGGTGTTCTTAGAAGATGCCTCTTAAGAGGAGCTGAGGTGTCTCGGTTGTGGAAGTATTTGAATCTGTTTTGTTAAATCGAAGTCCAGCCTTCTCCCCACTGTGGTTTGAGAGGTCTCCCTCTTCATTTGGTTCTTTCTTTTGTTATTCTCCACCGCCAAGCCAACCCACATCAAGCAAGTGTTAGTGTTAGTCATTCAGTCATGTCTAATTCTTTGTGACCCCATGGACTGTAGCCCACCAGACTCCTCTGTCCATGGGATTCTCCAGACAAGAATACTGGGGTGGGTAGCTATTTCCTGCTCCAGAGGATCTTCCTGACCCAGGGATCAAACCCAGGTCTCCTGCATTACAGGTGAATCTGAGCCACCAGGATATAAAAACTCTTCTTAAAACAGACAAAAGTTTTGAACAGTGGTTGCCAGGGGCTGAAGGGTGGAGAAATAGAGATAGATTGGTGAAAGGGTGCCGACTTTCTGTTATAAGATGAACACTCTCAGGCTCCAGTATATTGGGTAGGCCAAAAGGTTTGTTCTGGTTTTTCTGTAAGATATTATGGGAAAGATTGAGGGCAGGAGGAGAAGGGGGCGACAGAGGATGAGATAGTTGGATGGCATCATTCATTCAGTGGACATGACTTTGAGCAAACTGGGAGATGGTGATGAACAGGGAAGCCTGGCATGCTGCAGTCCATGGGGTCACAAAGACTTGGACATGGCTGAGCAACTGAACAACAGCCACTATGGAAAAACCTGAACGAACCTTCTGGCCAACCCAATATAATATGGCGGCTATAGTTGATAACGTATTACAGGCAGAGCTCATTTAATTTTGCTTTGCTGTATTTCACTTTGTTGTTGTTTGTTTGTTTTAACAAATTAAAGGTTTTTGGCAACCCTGTGTCAAACAAGTCTGGGGGCACCATTTTTCCAATAGCGTTTGCTCGTTTCGTGTCTCTGAGTCACATTTGGGTGATTTTCATGATATCTCACCCATTTTCAGTATTATTTTAATGGTTAAAGAGATCTGTGATCCATGAGCTTTGATGTTACTATCCCAATCATTTTGGAATTTTTTTCACAGTGAAGGGTTTTTAAATTAGGGTAAACAAGAAAAAAGAAAAGCTCTTCTTGGCGTGTTCACATGTCGAGTAGTTATTCTCTATAAAGAAGGTTTCCCTCATAGCTCAGATGGTAGAGAATCTGCCTGCAGTGCAGGAGACCCAGGTTCAATCCCCAGGTCGGGAAGATCCCCTAGAGAAGGAAATGGCAACCCACTCCTGTATCCTTGCCTGGAGAATCCCATGGACAGAGGAGCCTGGTGGGCTGCAGTCCATGGGGGTCACACAGAGTCGGGCACGACTAAGCGACTAATACACACATACATACAAAGGGAGGGTTTTCTGGGGGCTTTCCCGGAGCCTGGGGTCTACCATCGGTCTCTTTTCTCTCCACAGGGACATGCTGCAAAGCCACATGATCTTCGGGCTGGTGAAGACACTTTCTCCAGCCCTGGACAGTCAATTCCAAGAGGCACACAGATCGCTGAGCCAGAAATTGGGGGAACTGACAGGACACCCACCCATGGTGAGGAGAGCAGGGGAGGAATTCTCCCAGGTGGGGTGCTAACGGAGCATCCACCATCTGGGGGGCACACATGGACATAGCTCCCTCGGCAAGGGGCATGGGAACTAGATGTCCCCCAACATCTGGGCCTTCCGCGGAAGCCCTCTGCGCTTACACTGAGAGCTGGGATGCCAGGGAGCAGACCTTTGGGCACATGTCTGTCTACCTCTAGGACCTTTTTGCTGAGTATTAAAATCTAGATAGACAGCTCTAAGCTGATCAAGAACTGCTTTTCCTTTGCCGTGACCCCTAGACTATTTGCTGGGTTATCCTGAGCACTGTGACTTGAGGAGCTGGACGTACGACCTGGGGTTCACTGGAGTGAGACACGGTGTGGCAGGCAGGAGCCTTCGCTCCATCTAGGTGGTTCCAGTGTTCTGTGTCCAGATACGCTTCATCAGGAGCTCATCCCTGACCACCCCCGGGGTCTGTCGGCCACACCGTGGGCTTCGTGATGCCGATTCTGATATATCAGAGCACGGGGCTGTGTACCAAACATGCTCCACTAACCAAAGTCCACTCTGACGTACTCAGGACTGTGAACTTTGAAATCCTAGGTGGACACATCCCAGTGTAAGAGGAAGTATCTAGAACATTAGATGCCCTCCAGCCTCTGTGAAGCTTCAGGGCAGTCTTGCGCATCACTGGGTTTCTTTTCTTAGTAATTTGTGGATCATTTCTCTGCCTTGGAGGAATTCATGGCTTTGGCAAATCTGAACTATCTATAGAATTTGAAGAAGGGAATTGTAAACACGGGGTCTGGAATGTAGTTGTTGCCTATGGAGACTTTAAACTGTGCTAAGCATTTTTCTGAGCCCTTTAAATGTGGGAGTTGATTTGATTCTCACAGCAGTTCCATGAGGAGGACAGACCATGTGGTCCCTGTTTTATTTGTAGGTAAAATGAGACCCAAAAGTTAAGGATCTCACTCAAGGTGATATAGCTGCTGGGTTGTTAGAGCTAGGATTTGAACTCAGGCTTCAGTATCTGTGTGCTTAATCATTGCAAAAGACAAATAAAAAAACCCACAAAACACAAAACAAAAAGAATTAACTAGGATATTCCCTCAGGTGGGTTAGTCCCCAAGAGCCTTCTGCCCAGTCTTTCTCTTGACTCAGATGAGACAGAGCCCCAAGCCCTCATAGTTGGGATTGCTAGAAAATCCCCAGCAACAAACAACTTTGTGTAAAATCCAGAACTGTGGCCTGGTAGTACTTTTTGAAGCGTATAAGAATGCCAACATTGAAATTCACACTTAAAAAATTTAGAAGGCTTACGAATTTCTAAAGTCATCACCCTTTGTACATACATACATATATCCTAAACGTATATATGTATATCCTATACATATATGTATATTATATAATCCTTATCTCTCTCCATTTGTTATTGCTTAGTTGCTAAGTCATGTTCGACTCTTTTGTGACACCGTGGGCTATAGCCCACCAGGCTCCTCTGTCCATGGGATTTCCAATGTAAGAATGCTGGAGTGGGTTGCCATTTCCTTCTCCAAGGGATCTTCCTGACCCAGGGATTGAACCCATATCACCTGCATTGAACAGGTGAACTCTTTACCACTGAGTCACCAGGGAAGCTTTTAGGATGTGTAATTGTCCTTGGACTTAAAAGCTGAGTCAGACTCTACCAACAGATAGTTCTGTGACTTGTTGAAGCCCTTTCCCTTGTCTGGAATAACACCAAATATGATGCCAAATATGATGGCACCACATAATAATAATAGCTGAAATACGTTGAGTAGTTACTCTATATCAGGCAGTGCTTATTTTATTTACTACTCTCAGAAATGCTCTGAGGTCCTCAAAAGGACAAAGTAACTTTCCCAAGACCAAACACCTCGTAAGTGAAGAAATAGACTCTAGAACAGGTCTGCCTGACCTGTGAGGTCACATTTTTAACCGCAAACTGCAGGGTTGAGAAATAGTGGGTGGTAACAAAAAATGCCTTGGCAAATTCTTTCTATAAAGATCAAGATAGTAAATATTTTTAGCTTAGTGGTCTATGTGACCTCTGTTGCAACCATTCATCTCTGTCCTTGTAACATAAGAGCTATCATATGCTCAGTAAATGAATGGGTATAGCTGTGTTCTAAGAAAGATCTTATTTAGATGCTCTCAGAATTTCCAAGAGAGAGAGATGAGGGTTTAAATGGTCAGTGAGATAGCTGAGCAGGAGGTAGGAAGTAAAGAAGCAGTGTCTAGGGAGAGGAAAGGGTTTTCCGGGAAAGGAAAGAATGTTGTCTCATTGCGACCAGGGAAGGCTAGCTGAAGCATGGTGCAGTGTGAGGGACCCTCTTGGTGGCTCTGGCTGAGAAGAGGTGACAGGGTTTGCTGGAAGGCTGTCCTGCTTGCCTGGGGGGTTGAGAATCAGCCTGGAAACCAGTGCAGTTGAAGCAGAGAAAGCATATAGAGTAAGAGTAGGGAGGAAATCGGGGCTTCCCAGGTGGCACAGCTGGGTAAAGAACCCGCCTGCAATACAGAAGACATGGGTTCGATCCCTGGGTCAGAAAGATCCCTTGGAGGAGGGCATGGCAACCCACTCCAGTATTCTTGCCTGGAGAATCCCATGGACAGAGGAACCTGGGAGGTCACAGTCCACGGGGTCGCAAGGAGTCAGACGCTACTGAAGTGACTAAGCGTGGCGGGGGGAGGTAAGTGTGGGGAGAGGAAATCAGAGAGGGGAGGAGGGGATTGTACCAGGCCCTGGTCAGTCACCGTAAGGTCTTGGGTTTTCCTCTGCATGTAACAGGGGCCTGTAGAAGGATTTACCTATTTTATGTTTTAAAAGAACATATTCTGTAGGTAAGCAGCAGTCGCCTGATGGATGTTTGGTGTGAGAGGGGGAGTGGAGTCAAAGACACCATGAAACTTTGGGCCTTAATTGGACTAAAATGTGTATTTCTATCCGATGTTTATGAACTACAGCTGTCTCACCACGTTCCTCTGAATGAACTCCAATTTGTAATGCTCTTATTCAGAAGGACTGTCAGGTCTCATCTGACCATATTTTGTTTATTAATTTTGGGTATATGTAGTCAGCGAAAATGGCTGTCAAGCCAAGTTTTTCTCTTATTAAACTTGAGAAGCTGAGTTTGGGAAATTAAAAGCAGAACTTCACATTAGTGCCTGTTAGGAGTGAACTATTTACGTTCACGACAACATCTGTGTTTACTCAGGGGATTTCAGCCTTTGTTTTAGTGATCTGTGATTTCTGCCTTGGGTCATTTGTGGCTTTGCTTACTGTGTCTTCATCTAGATTATTGGTAAGATTCTGCAGAGGAAAGAGTATTGACTCAGGTTATTGAAGACCAGTGTAGTCAGCAATACATTTATGCAACAAATATTAATTGAGTCCCTATTATATGCCAGACGCTTCTCTTGACTCTTTGGATTCTTCATGAACAAAATAGATAGAAATCTCTGTCCTCAAATGCATCTATTCTAACAGAGACAGAAAGACCATAAGCTAAATAAAATACATTGGATGGTATTAAAAAAAAAAGTGAAAGTGTTAGTCACTCAGTCACGTCCCATTTTTTGTGACCCCATAGACTTGCCCTCCAGGCTCCTCCATCCATGAAATTTTCCAGGCAAGAATACTGGAGAGGATAGCCATTCCCTTCTCCAAGGTATCCAGACTCAGGATTCGAACTCAGGTCTCCTGCATTGTACACAGATTCTTTACCATCTGAGTCACCAGGGGGTGGTATTAAGTGTTATGAAAAAATAAAAAAAGGAAAGAGGGAGAGAGATACCTAGTGTGGACATGTTACAGTGTTCGGTGGGGCAGTGAGGGAAGCTGGTACTAAATTGGAAACATTAATCACTGACATTCCCTTCTGGGTCAGCCAGTTCAGAATCCACTCAAACAACACTGTTATTTAACATGGATTTCTCCATTGATTTCATGAGGACATAACCTATGGTTTTACCAGATGGTATCTTGAAATCAAGCTAGCACCAACAGAATGGAGTAGAACTTTAGAATTTACAGAGCACGTTCTGTGTAGTATTTCCCCGGTTCTCCCAAGCAGCTCTGTGAATTAGAACAGGCATCAGGCTCCTATATACAGCTTGTGTAATTGAAGTGCGAGGGTGTAAGTTATTATAGTAATTCACATTTAGTAAATGCTGAATTCTCTATGCAGAGGGAGAACTGCCGTGATCCTGGAGGATGAATCTGGCTCATGGGTGTGTTTTGTTGCACTCTAAAGATTTTACAAACTTTTAATGAGTGGCTGACTTTCAAAAATTAGGCAATAACACACAAAAAGAGTTCCATCGCTTTTGGTTGTTGTTTTCAACGTGAGTGCTGAGTTAGCCTTCTCCCGGGGCAACAGATGACTGGAGCTGAGGGATGCAGCCAGTAGGCCTGGATATGGGTTTGCCATCACCCCTTCTGGTCCTGGGGTTCTGATGTTGGGCTGCTTCTGTTATTTATGGTACCTCACAGCCCCTATTTGAGTTTGTGACACTTGATCTACTTTTCATTCTAATTTAGTGCCCCTTTAAAAATGATGACATTTATTTTTAGTGCTATAAATATATTTATTCATACAGTCACATTACTTTTAAAAATGATTTTATATTGAGCTATAACTGATTAACAATGCTGTGGTAGTTTCAGGTGAACAGTGAAGGGACTCAGCCGTACATACACACGTATCCATTCTCCCCCAAACCGCTCCTCCCATCCAGGCAGGCACATAACACTGTTCAGAGCTTCCTGTGCTATACAGGAGGTTCTTGTCGCCCAGTCGCTCAATCGTGTCCGATTCTTTGCGACCCTATGGACTGGGGCCCGCCAGCCTCCTCTGTCCATGGGATTCTCCAGGCAAAGATACTGGAGTGAGTTGCCATTTCCTCTTCCAGGGGATCTTCCCAACCCAGGGATCAAACCCATGGGTTGAATCCACATCTCCTGTGACTCCTGCATTGGCAGGCAGATTCTTTACTAATAAGCCACCTGAGAAGCCCTCAGGTCCTTGTTGGTTACCCCTAAAAATGATGACATTTGAAAATAATTTTGACATTATTCATTCCCAGTTATCCTCCACTGGCCCTCAGACTATTAGTTACTCAGTCGTGTCCTGAATACTGAAGTGAGTCGCCATTTCCTTTTCCAGGTAATCTTCCAGATCCAGGGATTGAACCTGGGTCTCCTGCATTGCCGGTAGATTCTTTACTGTCTGAGTCAGTGAAGCTACCAAGGGGCCCCAGAAGTTACACATTATTTTCCAAGTGTTCAAAAATAATCGGTTTAATGATTCATTCTAGAATTGTGTTTCAAAATGCACATTAAGGATTCCTGGCTCACCTGTAATCTCTAAAATCTACTTTCCCCTTACTGAAAATTGCACAGAAATCTGCTTCCCTCGAGACTCTTGGAGTTTTTCTTGATTTCTGTCATGTTTGTCATTACTCATGGTTCAAAGGTTATATCTGCAAATATCTTTCTTTCTTTTTTTTTTAGATTTATTTTATTCAAGTAGTTGATTTAGAGTATTTGTTCATTTCTGCAATACACCAAAGTGATTTAGTTTTATATATATATATAATTTATACAGCACGTTCTGGGTAGTATTTCCCCTGTTCTCCCAAGCAGCTCTGTGTGTGTGTATATATATATATATATATACATACACACACATTGTTTTTCATAGCCTTTTCCATTATGGCTTATCACAAGATGTTGAATATAGTTCCCTATGCTATAAACAAGTAGGACATTGTTTATATACTCTCTATATAATAGTTTGCACCTGCTAATCCTGAACTCCCAATCCATTTCTTCGCTATTCCCATCCCTACAATTTTTTTTTTCTGTTTCTTGATATATTGAGACTCATTATTTTGGATTTGAAGTATTTATTCCATCTTTTATATTTTAACAGTGATTTTTTTCTTTTTCTCTACAATTAATATGGTATACTCTATCATCTCACATTTTGAGACAACTCAGATACTGATAACCCCCAGCAGATGAATACATAACCTGTCAACCTCCACCCCTGAGACTTAACATTCATTTATAGATCCTGGAAGTTACTTTCCTGCATATAGAACATACGACTCAGCACAGCTGTGACCTGAAGAGTCGCAGAGTGGTGCAGGGACAGCAGTGAGTGGTCCGAGGTGGTCTCCATATGCTTCAGGAACCAAGTCAGGGTCTACCATGGCCCAGGCTATGGGCCCTAGCATGGAGCTGACAAAGCCTGCTAAGGGCAAGTGTCGGCAAAAGGGATCAGGAAACAACTCAAGAACCAGGAGGGGCAGACGGGGCAGGCAGAGCCACATCATCAAGCTCAAGGCTCATGTGCTCGCTGCTGTTCTGGGTGCAGCCCTCCACCCCCTTCAGCTGTCTGCTGAGAAACAGTCTCAGAACTGAGCTTGTCCTCCGGAGGCTGCAGGAGATGAACCCAAAGGTGGCCAGCAGAGTCTGCACCTGTCCCCGGCATTGCTGTCAGACCCAAGGGCCTTTCTATTTGTTTTTCATGTTTGTGAGTTTCAGAACATCAGCTAATACAGTATCAAAAGTGTCTGAGTCCATACTCACCAGGAGAAGGTCCTTAATAGACCTCATGGTGAGGGGGCAGACAGGAACACAGAGACGTGGGCAACTGGGTCTGGAGCAACCTCCAAAAAGGTAACCATTCTAATAGGCAGGCCCAGGAGTGTCTTCAACAACAACAGTACTGGCCTTCCTTTCTCTTTCCTCTTCCATGGGAAGCCCCATAAGCAATCTCCAACCTTAGGACCAGACTGTATGGTGGCAGCCTACGCCACTTTCCTGCCAGGAGGCCCTGGCGGGTAAAGAAGTAACAGGAATGAAGTCTTGTGACTTCATCCCACTCAACCCAAATCAGCATATTAATATGTTTTTCCTAAGTCCCTGCTCAGCTCTCCTCACTCTTGCTTCCTTGAATTTGTTTCTCACCTTCCCTGCATCATCTCTTCAACGCCATCCACACCAGCATCTCTCTCTTGTTCCTTATTCTTTCCATCCTGCTGTTTGAAACCACCCTGATTGCCAAAGTCCTCTTTGAGTTTTTATCTATCTGTTTCTCCACCTTTGAAGATGTCCATCATCTCATCCTATATTTTAAAAAAAAAATATTTATTTTGTTTTATTTATTTGACGGTGTCAGCTCTTAGTTGCAGCACACGGGATCTTCGTTGCATCGTGTGGGATCTCTAGTTGTGGCACTTGGACTCTCTAGTTACTGTGTGGGCTCCGGAGCACATGTGCTCAGCATTTGTGGTGTGGACTTCATTGCTCTCTGACATGTGGGCTGTTAGCTCCCCAAGCAGGAATCGAACCCACGTCCCCATCCCCTGCATTGCAAGGCAGAGATTCTTAATCACTGTACCACCAGGGAAGCCCCTCATCCTATATTCTTTTCCCTGATTTGGCAGAAAGCTCCTTAGGTCTCCAAATTGCATATATTTAGTCTTTTCTTTTTTCCTCTTCTCCTACCAAGGAATATGGTATTTAAAACTCAGTTTCACTCTGGTAACTTTCTTCTTTATAAGAGAAGGTCTTACCATTTGGAGGGCGGGGGGAAGGCAGGAGGCAGGGAAAAATTTCCTTCTGTACTTCCTAGTTTAGGTAAAGAAGCTTGGGAGGAGGGGTGTCTTCAGTGGGATCCCTGAGCCATGTGCATGGTGGGAGATGTGTGTGGTGGGCAGGGACGAGGTGGCAAGCAGACCTGCCCAAGTGAGAGGGTGGACTCTGTGTATTAGTCGCCCAGTCACGTCTGACTCGTTGCAATCCCAGGGACTGTAACCTACCAGGCTCCTCTGTCCATGAGATTCTCCAGGCAAGAATACTGGGGTGGGTTGCCATTTCCTTCTCCAGGGGATCTTCCCGCCCCAGGGATTGAACCCGGATCTCCTGCATTGCAGGCCAATGCTTTACCATCTGAGCTACTAGGGTTGAATCCAGTCTTGTCCTTGCCAGGAGCCCTTTAGTTATCCAGAAGGATGCCTCCCAGAGGCCTTGCTTTCAGATTCAACAGGCAATAAACAAGGATAGTTTGCCCAGCCCAGCCTCATGACTGATGCTGGAGAAACTCTGAGCCCCTCACTGCTTAGCACAAAAGCCCCATGTGTGTCACCAAAAGGGTTTATAGACCGAAGGGAGACAGACCCAGGAAGTCCAGAAAAGAGAATGTCCCCGGGGAAGAGGGTCTAGGCAAGACTGGCCCAGAGAAGTGGATGAGGAAGAACCCTTGGCAGGAGCCGCTCATTCCAGCTTTGTCTCCGCAGCCGGCCCACCCTCGCTGGATGATGTGCATGGAGAAGACAGAAGCCTTCTTCGAGCCCACACTGGCCACATTGTTCATCCGGGAGACTTTCAGACCCAGCACCCAAAGTGCTGTACGTGAGGGCTCCTCTTCAGCCGATGTCCCCCCACCCCTTCCCACCCAACCCATCTTCTCCACTTTGCCCTTCTTGCTGGTTTCTGTGGTCAGAGAACTAGGCAGTTTAGAGAATCCAGAGAGGGACACGCTACACCCCCAGAGTCTGCACGGTTTAGCTCCGAGACAGAGTCCGCGCAGCACACACTAACCTGAACAAGCCTCCCAGCCTTACTGCTCATGTGTTTCTTCAACCATAAAATGAGAAAACTGAACTCCGTGACCTCTAAGCCTACTCCTTGTCTGTCTATGACTTTTGAACAACTTGTGAAACGATATAAGAATGGCATGCTATCACTGCAAGAAGTGCCCACGGCAACTACTGAATGCTTACCAACGGCTACCATGTGCGTGGTACTCTTGCAAGCGATTTGCACGACCTGCTTTAATTCCTGGCTCCACAGAGGGGTTAAGTGATTTGCCCAAGCCCACACAGTTACCCCAAATAGTGGAGTCAAGGTTTGAACTCAGGTTGCTGATGCTGTCATCTATTTTCCTCCATCTAGAAAGGAAATACACAGGATGGTAGATGGTGGAGGAAGTGCTAACTCCACAGTCAGGGTGTGAGGCTGGGACGGCTTTAGCTTGTTGGAAAGTGGACGAACCCAGGAAGATGGGGAGAGGAGATGAAGGCCTCCAGAAAGATGGTGTGAGGAGGGCTCTTGAGAGCAAAGAAGGGGATGGTGGTCCTCTTTCTCCCCCAGCCTTCTGAATGGATTTCCTGGCCAAAAGGATGGTGTCTCCCCCTCAGGCTGAGGTCTCCCCACAGAAAGGAGCTGTCTCCCCCATCGGTTCTTAGGAGGCACCCATCCCCACCTTCCTGTTCTGTGTTTGGTACTGCCTTTCCATCTCCACAGCTCTCTGCCCTGAGTTTTTGCTCACCTAGCAGATACCACTTCCTCTTTCTGAGGTCTTCCTCCTCCTGGCAGCTCCTCCTGGCCGAGGCCCCTTCCTGGAGGGCCGGTGGGCAGGACCGAGGACTAAGATTGATCCTGATCTTCTCCCTGCGCCCTCCTGCCTGCAGGCCATGGAATTATTCACTGCCATCAAGGATACCTTCATCAGTCACCTTCATACGGTTCCCTGGATGGATGGAGAGACCCGGGCAAAGGCCCAGGACAAGGTAAGGCCAGGAGAAAGAGACAGCATGGGGCTGTGTAGTGGGTGTCAGCGGAGCGTGGGATCAGGAAAGCACGGTGACTGGGGGAGGGTGCTCGAGGCAAGTGTAACCACCAATGTGCCGCACGGACATCCTGCTCGCACTCCCAGAGGAGGGGACAGGGCAGCGAACAGGAGAAAGTCCTTATGGTAGGCCGAGGTCGCTGGAGTCCTCGCCCTTCATGTCTCTTCCCAGCTTACCCAACTGCAGGTGAAGATGGGGCCCTCGGAATGGGCCCTGAAGCCAGACCCGGCCAGACAGGAATACGACGACGTGAGTCCCCACCCTTGCCAGGTCCTTTCTAATCCTCAGCTTCCTCATCCCCTGCGCGACCTGAGTAGCAGACTCATTTTCCCTGGTTGACCCCAACCCACCCCTTCCCTGCCCTGGCGCTGACTGGACTTGATGGCTGAGCAGCCACACGATGGGGCTTCCCTGGTGGCTCAGTGGTAAACAACCTTTCTTACCAATGCAGAAGATGTAAAAGAAACGGGTTCGATCCCTGGGTGGGGAAGATCCCCTGGAGGAGGGCATGGCAACCCACTCCAGTATTCTTGCCTGTAGAATCCCATGGACAGAGGAGCCTGGTGGGCTGTATAGTCTGTGGGGTGGCAAGGAGTCAGACACGACTGAAGCGACTTAGCACACACAGCCACACTGTAGGTTTTGCCAGCAGGAAAACAGAGCTTTTTCAGGTCATGGTGAGTGTGTGTGCACACTCACACCCATGCATTTGTGTGACTTGCTTGAGTGTGTGTGTGTGTGTGTGTGTGTGTGTGTGTGCTGGTACGTGTGACGCTGGTTTGCAGTAGCACATGGTGGTGTCCTGGCACTAGCTTTCCACTGTCGTGGGGATGTCTCTGTGTCAGGGCTTATCTGTCTGGTTCAGACAACCACATCAGGGTGTATCAGTGTGCGTCTACATTTGTCTCCATGTATTTGAGTCACGCCCTGCCTCCTCCCAGATACAACTTGGATCCAGCTTCCTCCAGACCTTCCTGAGTTGCTTCCGCTCCCGCCAAGCCAGAGTCATCCAGGAGTTCTTGCAGCCTGTCTCCAATCACAGGTATGAGAGCCGGGGAGACACAGACACCACATCCCAGAGACAGCTGTCCGCAATTCCCAGGAAAGAAACAGAGGATCGGGGGAGCAGCAGCAGTCCTTCAGAAAGGACTGCAGGTAAATGATGGAGCTGGAGCTCAGGCGTGCTCTTCCCACAGGTGGCAGGTGCCCCCCTGGGGCCTCAAGGCTTACTATTCGATACCTGACCACGTGATGGTCTTCCCCGCTGGACTCCTCCAACCCCCGCTTTTCCACCCTGGCTACCCGAGGTATGGGCCATTCTCTGAGGTGGGCAGGAAGTCTCCTGAGAGTCATGGACCAGTGTTACGATGAATGATGGATGGGACTTGTGGTTGGAGAACAGGGACCAAACCTTGGAAGGATTCTGAGGGTCAGACGAGCCCTTCTCTCCCTAGAGCCGTGAACTTTGGTGCCACTGGCAGTATTATGGCCCGTGAGCTGTTGCACATCTTTGACCGGCTCTGTGAGTAGCAGCAGGCCACTGGCAGGTGGGGCCATCGGGAAGGCGGGTGAGGTCCCCAAAGTCGACCCAGAGCAGGAGGCAGGGAGGCTGTGCCAGGGCTCCAGGTGGGCGTGTCCTGCAGCTTTCACAGCTCCCCCAGGAGCCAGTGCGGTTTGCAGAAGACCCACGTCTTCACCCCGGCATCACGCCTCACCATTTCCCCCGCTTGCCCCATTTTCAACAGTACTCCCTGGGGGCTGCCCGGCCTGTGACACCCATGCCCTGCAGAAAGCGCTGCTGTGCCTGGAACGCCTCTACACTGCCTTACCGTCACCCAAGGGAACCTCCTTCGATGTCTCCCGCACGCTCCTGGAGGATGCTGCAGACGCCGGGGCACTGGCCATTGCGCTGAAGGTAACACATCCCAAGGGCTGGGATCTAGTTTTACCAGCAGAATAGACAGCCTGTCACCAGCATTTCCTTCCACCATCCCTCATGCAAACATGGCAAATCTTTCTGCCCTTCACATCTCTACTGAACAGCTGGCAACTTGAGGACTCCCCCCATCCCACTCCACAAGCCCTCTTTTCGAGGATATCCATCGATCTTACAGCAAGGTTGTCTTCTCCTGGCTCAGATCTGGCTCAGGGCTGAACTTGGGAAGAAGGACCAGGAGATGGTTTTGGATATTGTATATAGGGCATCAGACTTCCAGTTGGGTACGGGTCTGGAACCTAAAGGCAATTCTCCATCCCACTCTTATATCCAGGCATACAAAAAGAGGCTAGTACTGTTCCGTGGGGAAACCATCCTGCCCAGCCTAGACCTCAGCCCCCGGCAGCTCTTCTTCCGAAGCTATGCCCAGGTAAGCCGCCGACATCTCCCACTAGGGCTTAATCCACGTCAGATAAATACCCTCCCGTTAATGCTCAGAGAATCTCTCCTGCCTGAAACATCTCCTGGCAATGTCCCCAACCCTCTGCTGCACAAATCCACACTGTCACCCTTTCACACAAGTGCCCTGGGGACCATCCTTCATCCTACTATAAATTCTTCTACTGAGTCTAGCATTCCCTTCAAAAAAAAAGAGGAAAAAAGAAAAAACTTCATTCCTAAATTCCTCCTTGAGATGAGACCAACTTTTGTCTTCTCTCATTTCTTCTAGAAATACAGACCCCTTCCAAAAGAGCCTTAACAGACTATCCACTGATTATATTCCTCCTTGGAGACCCCGCCCCTAGGTGGGGTCCCCACCTGACATATCCCCCCGCCCAGTGCCATGTATTCCTTCAAAAGACACTGTCCCCAGTTCCCCAGGGCACTTGAAGACCCCCACAGAGTTCTCACAACAGACCTGCCTCTAGGGCACTTTTAGATGTTGTGATGACACAGTTCCGACCTCACTAGATACCCGCTGCCAGATTAAATGACTTACAAATGGCAAATATCTTCTTTCTCCACGAGGCCCTTGGAGCACCGCTGTCCCTGCTTTTGTCTTTGTCTGCTGTCCCTGGTCACCAGGTCTGCTGTGTCCTGATGATCTCCTCACCCTCTCTGGACCTCTTTTTCCCCCCAGGTGATGTGTAGGGACCCCAGCACCCAGGATCCTCAGGACATTCACAGCCCTCCTACCCTTCGCATCCATGGGCCCCTAAGCAACAGTCCAGCCTTCGCCAGACACTTCCGCTGCACCCAGGGGACCCTCCTGAGCCCCTCCGGCCGCTGCCAGCTCTGGTAACCTGGCCGGCTCCCAGAGAGATCTCAGTACAGGTGTATCGGCATCTCTGAGCCCCATCCCTGGAACCAGGGCCAACACCTCCTCTGCCCTTCCATGCCAAAAATAAAAGCTGGCCCTTGGCTTTTGCCTGTCTCTTAAGAACACTTTCCTGCTGGGGCTGGAAAGTCAGAAAAAGTGAGAAGGCCAAGCAGAGTTCCATGGACGTGAGCTAAAGAAGCAATCATTGCGCTGAAGGTTGGTGGGCCAAAGGCTGCGCGACTCAGCAGACTGGTTAGAAACAGAATGAAACCACCCCCAGTTGTTTACAGGAGTTGACTGATATCACTTTTATTGTTGCTGCCTCCTCTCCCCGGTCTGTTGAATAGAGCCGGGAGAGGCTAGGGGAGAGAAGGGCAGGGGTCTGGTGTCTTGGCTCTTGGAGATGGCACTCAGAGCGTGGGGAGGCAGGTGGGGCAGTGGCCGTGGACGGCCCACAGGCCAGCAAGGTGTCTCTCTGATGCTGTGACCCCAGCGAGAGGGCCGCTGGCGGGAGCCAGAAAGCCACGTGTTCGTCTCCCTTGGGAGAAGCACCCTGGAGCCGCGGGGGGAGAGGGTCAGTAAGCTATCATAAAGCGGAGGTAGATGTCCAGGTCCTCATCCAGGAACCAAGCCACCACCTCCGCCTCAATGTCCCTCATAAAAAAACCATGATGCTGGCCAGGTTAAAGCAGAAGGCGAGGTCAAACAGGTGATCACGGATTGCCGCCACCTCCGAGGTCTTGTCATCCTCCTGCTGGGCCATGTCCACCACATGCCACATCTCGCCCACCGAGGAGGCCATGAAGCGCTCTTCGAACTGTTCTCGATCTTGGTCTGGAATGGGGCAAGGGGATGGCACGAAAGGAGGGGTTCTGACTGCCCTCCCCCTGGCCCTGCACTGCCCTGGAGCCGAGAAGGAATTGAGGAATGTGGGTGCCCATCGGCCCACACCCTTGCCCTTGACCACAGAGGTGATGCTCCTGGCGGGGGGTGGGGGGAGGTTCAGTCTCTTCTGGTCCGCGTGCAGCCCTAGTCCCCACTCAAGAACTCACACATCCCACTTCCAATGCAAACTGCCTCCTCCAAAGTGCCACCTCATGTGGGGAGTGAGGGGCCGTCTCAGAGAGGGATGAACTTCAAAGACCCTCTTTCCATCTCCACAGGGTCCCATGCACATCAGCTGGCCCCGGCGTGCCCTGAACAGGGCTCTGGCCAGAAGCCGTGGCTCTAGACCCTTTGCAGGACACTTGCACTGCAGCAGTACAACCGGGCCCGGGGCGATCGCCCATAAGCCAAATCTAGCTCAGCTTCCCCTCCGGCCTGACCAGTGATCTGGCTCCACAGAGGCCTGATCCCCATCTCCAGGCGTCCTCCTCCTTCTTCCCCTACCTGTAGAGGGTGTCTTCTCTTTCTGACTCCTCTCATCTAGGCCTGGGCTCCCTCTCTGGGTCTTCACCCCCTTGACTCGCAGCAGCAGCAGGAGGGCGCCCAGGAATGCTGCCCTGCAGAGCTGGGAGCCCGAGGAACTCATGGGCCTGCCCAGCCCCTGCCGTCAGTCTTCCCGCGTCCCAGTGCCCAGCTGGTCACCCCCCTGCTCCCTCCCCTGTCCGTTGTCCCGGCCCTTTCTCCTTCCCAGCACCGTTTCCTCCCTTCCCTTCCAGCGGACCTCTGATGTCATGAGCTCTGTGACATCACAGCCGTGGCCTCGACGCTCATCCCAGCTCCCTGGAGAGTTCCATTGGCAGGCAGGAGCATGGAGAATAGTCCGCAGGGGACAATAGAGGCTCCGGGGAGGACTGCAGTGGACCTCAGCAGTGGAGGGCCACGGCAGTCACCTAAGAGCCTGTGCAGTCCTTTCAATGCCATTATGTCATGAGATCCATGTGGCAACCAGGACTGAGGCCATTATATAGATGAAGAAACCGAGGTGCACAAGAGAAATGACTTGCCCACTGAAGGTCACACGGATAATAAGGTGCAGAGCAGGGCTCTTGCCGATTCTTTAGATTCTAAAGATCACACCTTCCCACCTCACTCTTCTGTGCGGCCTTTCTCAAAGGAAAGCGACTTGCATAAACCGAGGCCCAGACCCATGTCGAAACGAGTCTCTTCAAGTCCTGGGCTGTGTGTGAAACTCAGGTCCATCCAAAATGAGGGCAGGGGAGGACCTAATTGGAGGAGGAGGTAGGTACCTGCTTTGGGTGTGACAGCAGAGTGCTCCGGACCCAAGTGGAACCACGCTCTCATTCCTTGTCCTCCCCTGGACTATCCTCAGTCCTAGCTTTGCCCTCTAGTACTGACAGGCTGAATGCGTCCTGCCTCATTTCACACCCTCCTGTACTCAGACAAAGCTCTTAGAGACTCGGTGTCTAAACTCAGTCTCTAAAGGGCGGGAGGAGGAGAGTCTTCATAGAAAAACCAGCATGGCAAAGGCAAGGATCCCAAGTAACCGATCTTAGGAAACCTGCCTTCATGTCCCAGGGCCTGCCCTGCCCATAACCCTGGTGAGCACAGACCTGTTGGCAGTAATTGGTTGATCCCAAGTAACCGATCTTAGGAAACCTGCCTTCATGTCCCAGGGCCTGCCCTGCCCATAACCCTGGTGAGCACAGACCTGTTGGCAGTAATTGGTTGGGGCTAACTGACATCTGCTTCCTGGAGCAGAGGGCTGGGGAGATGGGATGAAGGCCAACTCTGGAAAATCCAGAGACAGACACAGGCCATGAGGGACAGCCAGGTGCCAGGACTGTGAGCTCACATCACTCCCGGCATCCACACATGCACGCCTGAATGAACCATCAAATGCAGGGGTGAGACGTGTCCAGAATGCGTGCTCTTCCTGAAAGGGGGCGGATGGCCCAACGGCAGGGCCAGCAGAGCCTCCTTCCCAAGGATGCCGCCCGCGCCAGCCGATGGGCTTACTGGGAGACTCTCTCCTGGACGGCCGACACAGCCTCCTATATACTTCCATGATCCAAACCCGGTGACAGGTGACTGGGGAGCGGTCCAGGAGTCACCTGACGACGGGAGAGGCAAGCTTCAGTAAGTGGGTGACCCTGTTCACCCCGCCCTTGCACTCCTTGACCTGCAGGTCCAGGAAATGCTGCTTGCAGGGAAAGAAATCACTAACCTCCTCCTGGCTATTTGGGGGAGGAGCTTCTGGGTTTCTGGCTAACTGAGAAGCTATCTCCAACTCTGTGAGTTTGGACGGGGCGGGTGGTTGGGGTTGGGCCTGTCTTAGGGGAGAACTGGAGATGAAAGGACCAACTGGCTGGCACAGACCACCACAGCTCTAATCTCCTCTCCAGATGCCCGCCCGACGCCCTGTGCCTAGGAGATAAATCTTCATAGGAAACCAGGAATCCCTTCATGCGTAGTTTTTTTCTTTTCTTAGTACAAAAGTATATTTAAAATTTATGAAAAAAAGGCAAATAATTCCACCATCCTATGACAATTCCTCTTCATATTTTTAAAGATAGTATTCAGATTCTTTCCCTACAGGGCTGTGGGCAGGTAGGGTGGGAGTGTATGACCTAAATATTGAAGTCCAGGTTTACATGTTGTCTTCCTTTCTGGGCTCCCCTGGTGACTCAGACGGTAAAGAATCCACCTGAAATGCGGGACAACTGGGTCCGATTCCTGGGTTGGGAAGATCCCTTGAAGAAGGGAATGGTTACCCACTCCTGTATGTCTAGCTTGGAGAATTCCATGGACAGAGGAGCTTGGCGAACTACAGTCCATAGGGATGCAAAGTGTCAGACACAGCTGAGCGACTCACACTTCGCTCCTTGTCATGTCAGAATAAGAGGTCTGGTGCCTTTGATGTCAACGGGCTCTGAGATAAAACAGTGAGATTTTATCAGGGGCCCTGGACCAGCTCTTATCTATTCTCGAGAGACCCTGGGGCATCACCATCATGCAGGGAAGCATCTGCCTGCGGGAGGGAGGTTGTAGGACTCTTGGCTTGCAGAAAGCTCCCAGAGGATGAAGACTGATGAGAGAAGGGAGGAGAGGGTGGCCTTGCAGGACCTGACAAAGGGGATGGAGGACTGGAGAGAGTAGCCAGAGGACAGAGGAGGAGAGAGCTCCCTAAAGACAAGGAAGTGAAGTGAAATCCACTCAGTTATGTCCGACTCTTTGTGACCCCCTGGACTATCCAGTTCATGGCATTCTCCAGGCCAGAATACTGGAGTGGGTAGTCTTTCCCTTCTCCAGGGGATCTTCCCAACCCAGGGATTGAACCCAGGTCTCCCTCATTGCAGGCAGATTCTTTACCAGCTGAGCCACAAAGGAAGCCCAAAGATCAGGAAGTCATCTCTAAATCTCCCGCCTACCAGGTGGGATGAGGGGACAGTTTGTTCTCCTCCAGGAGGCTTGTTCCTGTCCTCCCCACCCCTCCTAAAGAGAACACTGCAGACAAAGGCGTGTGCAAGTGGGAAGGGAAGACCCAGAGGCGGAGGGCCCCCTTCCCTCCTCCAGGACCCGAGGACCGTGCCCTTGGTGGCCAGCCTGCGCACCTGCTCTGTGCGGCTCTGACCGGGCCCTCCCGCCCCCGCTCCCTCCAGGACTAGCAATATGGGCTGAGTATTACTGGGCAGGCGCTCCTTTCCTCTGCAGCCCTGCTTATCAGCATATCTACACCCCCACCTTACCCCTATCACTCCCTCCATCTCCTTAGACTGGAAGTCTCAAGGCTTCGGAGATCATTACAGCCACACACTGCCCCACCCTCTCGCAAAGCAGAAAAATGTCCTGCAAGGTGACCCCTCCCCCTTCCCAGCCAGCATCTGCCCCCTCCCTGGGGGAGGCCATGCTTCCTGCTGTCTCAGGCACCTCCTCTTTCTTTCCTTATTTATTTTCCTTTCAGTTCTCATCCTTCTCAATAGGTGGTTTTGTCCATCCTTCAGTCTCTAGAGAAGCACTCTCACTTTCCTACAGCAAAGGAAGTGAGGGGTCCCTGCCCCAGAAGACCCCCAAGGCAGAGGGTCCCCAGCCTATCTCCACCCACACCTCTCATCTTTATAAGCAGAAGGTTCCCAAGAAGCAGTGAGGTCTGACGGGTGACTTGGACCTGAGGTTCCACCTGGCAAGCCAGCTCCAGCTTTGCCTCCCACCGGCCGTGGGGAGTCACATGCATCTCTCTCTGCTGTCTTCTCACTTAGGAGCTAGAGAAGCTTCAGCCTGCACCCAGGGAACTTGGGGATCTCTTGAATGACTACAGTTCAGGAGGTATATCTGAATATATCTCTTTGGAAACAATCAGGAAGAAAAATGGAAACTGTTATATCATAAAATAATTTAACACTGTCTTATCTTTACTCGTGCTCCTCCTGTTGACTCACTCCTGGAGGGAGTCCTGTGATTTCCTCCACCTCTGCTCAGTTCCTGCTGCCTGGCCTCTGTGGATGTGCAGGGCTCGCTGGGGTCTCCTTTCCCTGGAAGGGAGGAGCTGGAACAGAAGAGGAGGCCGTGGGCTTCTCAAGGAGGAGGGGCAGCCAGGAGACCCGCTGGCTGCGGGGCTTGGGGTACTAGGCAGAGCAAGCAGTTCTGGGGGCTTTTGAGCCCTTCTGTGGAAGAAGAATCAACTGTCCTTGAGCTGTTATGATTATGCTTTACAGACTCTGCTGTGAGAGCATGTAAGTATCACCCCGATTTTACAGATGAGAAGACGGAGGCACAGAAATCTCACCTAACTGACCTGCAAGGACCGAAAGCCAGGATTCAAACCCAGACCTGCCTGACTACAGAGCTGGAGGGCTTTGCTTCTCTACTCTCCTGCATCCGAGGTAATTGCTCAGCTGGCTTGTAGGACCCACCTTTGGGCTCTATCCTGGCTCCCAGGTCAGATTCCTAGGCCCCACCCCTCCCCTGGCCCGGCCTCAGCCGCCCTAGCTCACTGATAGGAACGAGCTCCCTCCCCCCGCTGGCTCTGAGGCAGGCTCTGTGCCCCAGGGGCTTTCTCTACAAAGAGCTCCTCCCCTCCAGGTAAAGTCTCTCTCTCCTGGCAGGGCCCCCAGTCCCCCGGTGCACGTGCATACCCTGCACAGCGCCACGCCAGATCCACTCGCGACCCATCCCTCCTGCTAGTCTCCGCTTCAGCTGCCGGCTGAGTCCTAGCCCTGCTCCCTTGAACCACCTCCTCCCCGTGACTGGCCACTGCCTGGAAGGAGAAGACATGGGAGCGCCTCCGTCCAAGGCCAGGGGTCTCTCGATCCAACTCCAGAAACTGCTGACCTCCTGGCTGGTGGGACAGCAAGACTGGGATCAGCGTCTGGACAAGACGTACATGCTGCAGCAGAAGAAGTAGGCTGCCCCCATCTCCCTAAGCCTCAAGCCCTCCGCCCACTTGGGTTGGTCTGCCCTGCCCACCAGAGCACCCCAGAGTTCAAGCCCGGTGCTGGGATGGACCCGTGCATCTGTTACAGATGCCCAGCTCCTGTGTCAGCAGTGGAGGAGGGGTGTGTCATTGGGTCCCGGGAAGGCTGGGGCAGGGTGATGCTGGGGCTCTTGCCTAGTGAAGGTGGGGGCCCTGGGGACCCAAAGATACCGGACGGGAGAAGCCAGCATTTTGTCGGATGTAGCTGGGGCAGGCGGGGGCAGGCGGTTGCAGGCTGGCAGGAAATGGGGTGCTAGGGAAGGGTTAAGATCCTGTGGATTTTAGGACACTCATTGGGTGAAGAAAGAGTGAGGAGTTACTGTTAATGAGAATGAAATTGACGACCTGGCAACAGGGGACAGCTCCGGTTTGTGCAACACCTGGAACTGACCAGCTGACCGTGGAAATCAGGCGACCCCGGGGAGTCCCAGTGGGGACTCCTGAAGCCCATCTGCATTTCCTGAGTCTGCTGTGTGCAGGCTGTGCTAGATCCGGAGCAGACAGTGAGGCTTGAGCCTGTCCCCGGGACAGCTCCGGTGGGACTGGTGACCCCGAGGGGCACAGCATTTCATGGTCAGCCCTGAGGTCCAGACCCCCAGAAGACTAATGGGGCAGGGACCCATCCTGATGGCAGGCTTCTCCCTCGGGGTTTTCGGGGGATTTGGCTCCCGTCAGAGAGCTGCCGTTAGCAGATCTGAGCGGGCAGCCAGGACTAGACTCACAGGCAGCGGCTTCTCCAGGCCAGAGGCCGGAGCACGGAGCTGTGTGCAGACTGGACCCTGCAGTCCTGGCCCTGGTTGCCCTGACCTGGGCATGCTCACACGGAGGGTGTGGGTGAGATAGGCAATAGGCTGGTCCCCACTCCACCCGTTCTCTCTGGAGAGAAATTCCGTGAGGGATGGACCTGAGTTCTACCTTGAGATCAAAAGCTTCTTCAGACAAAAAGCTTCTTTCCCCTGGCTCGGGGGGACCATTGGAAGGGAGGAACTGGGGGCTAGGGGACATCAAGGGAACCACCCACCGTCAGTCTGTTTACCGGCCTTTCACCTCTCCCCTCCTGACCCTCAACCTGCCATCCATGTGTCCACCTTCATCACATACTTGCCCAGCAGGAACCGGCTTCGGCATTATCTCTTGTCTGGCTCACCCAGGCCAGAGAGACACAAAGATTAACCTGCAGAGGTACCACAGGAGGACTATCTCCGTGAGGCTCCTCCCGCCCACTCCAAGATGCACACACTCAGAGAAGCTCACAGCCATGCTCTTGCTTGGCCGCAGACAGCGCGTTCAGACTCTTGAGTCAAAGGGTGACCCTTAGGGAGGGATGGAGCCCTCGTAGTCCACCTCGGGACTCCTTCCCCGAAGCAGGAATGTGCATTTGGACAGCCCCCGGGGAGTCGGAACTCCAGCAGCTCACAAATCTCCGAGTTCTCATAGCTGGCCTATCTCTCAGCCCCCTCCCCGTCTCTCCGGCTCCTCTCAGCTAAAGAGAGCCGGTTTAGCAGGCCTGGGAGCAGGGATGAAAACGGGCAGAAATTCCCTCTCCTCCACCCACTCACGATCCCCAAGTTCCTGAGACATGTACTCAGCTAGATTGACTTGGCCAGGCCCACCAGGACCACCCATTCCCTGGGCCGGGCCCTCCTCCCTCAGGCACTCTGCTCCTTAGTCAGCTGAGCCAGGAGTCCCCCCACCACCGGTGGGAAGAGGTAGCGATGCCACCCCACGGGGACCCTGAGCCAGACTCTTGCCCCATCTGACCCCGAGCTACAGTCCAGGAGACAATGCTGCAACATGTCACTGCGCATTCTGTGTGGCCACTGTCTGTGCAGGCGGACACGGTCTTTCTTCCTCTCTGCTCTGGGCCTTTCTGCCATTCTGTCTCTGCCTGACTCCCGTTCATCCTCTGCCAGGATTCGAGAGTCTCCTCTGCTTCGGGCAGCCAAGGACAACGACCTGTGTGTCCTGAAGAAACTTCTGCTGGACCGAAACTGTGACTTCCGGCAACGAGGTGGGATCAGAGTTTGATGTGATGGAGATGGGGCAGAAGCCTCGGCACTTGGAGGGTTTCTGCCGAGGGGCAGTGGAGTGTGTCTCTGGGAAATCTTGATGCCCCTGTCTCCTCCGCTCCAGGGGCCGTCGGGGAGACGGCACTGCACGTGGCCGCCCTCTATGACAACCTGGAGGCCGCCATGGTGCTGATAGAGGCTGTCCCCGAGCTGGTCAAGGAGCCTGCCATCTGTGAGCCATTTGTAGGTGAGGCACCTCCACGGTTTTTCAAGGTGGACGCAAGTAGGGGAGAGTCTGAAGTCACCTCTTACAATGAGCCTCTGAGGTCGGGGAAGGAGTGATGGGTGCTCAGGAATGTGGGAGGAAGGCAGAGGTCCTGGTCTTGGCTTTGAGTGTCTGGGACCTGCTTTAGCCATTTGTTATTTCCCTTCAACTCCTTTCACGTTCCGTGAAGAACAGAACTCTCTCTTTCAGAGCTGCACTAGAGTGATTACCCTTATATGCCATCCCCAGTAGTCAGGAGGCGGGGACCACTAAGTGAACCTGCCTGAGGGACATCTGGGGCTCAGTCTCACACCATTCTGCTGAGTCAAGGGAGGAAATCCATGCAAGGATGTCAGGGATCTCCTGGAAGCCAGGGGGCATGCTGTGTCTCCGAGAGAGCTGGGAACAGTCCTGACGGAGGGCTCCCTTGTCCAGGTCAGACGGCGCTGCACATAGCAGTCATGAACCGGAACGTGAACCTGGTGAAAGCCCTGCTCACCCACGGGGCCAGCGTCTCTGCGAGGGCTGTAGGCTCCGCCTTCCACCTCAGTCCTCACAATCTCATCTACTTTGGTGAGAGCCAGGACAAGGGCTGGGAGGACGAGGAGGGGGGCACCAGTCAAGGGAGGGTGGGCTGAGAAGCCTCCGTGCCTGGGGAAGCTGGGAGGGGTCCACCCTCAGGGCCGAAGGCCAGAGCCAAGCCCCCACCCCCACCCCAGGGCCCCCTCCAGCATCCCCGCTTCTGGTCCTGCTGATGAGGGTGCCCGGAGACAGGGGAGGCAGAGGCGGTCGCTCAGAGACACTGCCCATCCCCACCTGCATCTCACGCCCGCCCGGGCCTCTGCCTCCCCAGGGGAGCACCCTCTGTCCTTTGCCGCCTGCATGGGCAGCGAGGAGATCGTGAGGCTGCTCATTGAGCATGGCGCTGACATCCGGGCCCAGGACTCCCTGGGTAAGAGCTGGGCTGGAGGGGGCGCTGGGAGGCTGGGGGTGGCAGGGGAGGGGCTGGGACCCCCCTCAGGCCCCCCGGGGTGGGTGGTCCTGGGGAACAGCAGGGACTCTGGTCCCAGGGGTCACGTGACACCCCATGTCCTCTCCCAGGAAACACAGTGTTGCACATCCTCATCCTCCAGCCCAACAAAACCTTTGCCTGCCAGATGTACAACCTGCTGCTGTCCTACGACAGGCGAGGGGACCACCTGCAGTCCCTGGACCTCGTGCTCAATCACCAGGGCCTCACCCCCTTCAAGCTGGCCGGAGTGGAGGGCAACACTGTGGTGAGGGGCCCTCCCCCAACCCCACGGGGATCCTTCCCCTGATCCTTCTTCCCAAACTCCCCAAAAGGGTGGTGGTCCCTTACCTCCATCTCCATCACTAAAATCCTCAGCCTCAGAAATTTCTGACTCTGGGGGATTACAGAATCTTACCTGAGAATATCTGCTATGGTAACCCAAAGTTCCACTCCCCTCGCCTATTCTCTCCTTTCAGATCTTTATAGGATTTGTGGGAAGGAAAGACAGCCCCAAATTAAAAGGTTCAGGTCAACAGAGGCTTGTCAGTTCCCAGCTGTCCATCAGATCCAAGGAGTAAGTAACCATGTTGTTGCCCTTGACCTGCTCCTTACATGCTGACCCCCGTCTCACCCGTGTCCGCCCAGATGTTCCAACACCTGATGCAGAAGCGGAAGTACATCCAGTGGACATGTGGGCCGCTGACCTCTACTCTCTACGACCTCACGGAGATCGACTCCTGGGGAGAAGATGCGTCCTTTCTAGAGCTTGTGGTATCCTCCAAGAAACGGGAGGTATGGACACCATGGAGGATTAGGGGCTTTCAGGAGTCTGTGCAGAGCCCGTCTGTTTGCCAAGATCCTCAGCTTCAGAGGCTTCCCAGTAATAGATGGGGGTGAGGATAGACTCCTGGGACTTTGGGAGAATTTGCCGATCAATACCGCTTCCCTAACTCCGCTCTCTGCTTAGCTCTGGTCCCTTCTGCTTACCTTTCTCATACTAACACTGCATATGAGGAGTTCTCCAGATAGATGTTACTTCCTATCACTTATTCATTCAGCATATTGAGCTTCTTGCTGGGTCCCAGACACTGTACCAGGAACTGAGAGTACAGAAATAAATTAAAAAGCAGTTCCTTTCAGACAGCTTTGTCAATTTCCCAAGCCTGTTCTCAGTAACTATAATAGCCTGCAAGATAAAAGTTCACTGGGGTCTGTACTATGAATGGTACATAATGGTGCAATGGTACATGATGGTGCAACAGAATGGAGGTTGGCTTATGTTGGCTTGGATGGACCAGAAAAGATGTTACAGGAGATGTGCTTGAGCTGGGGCTTCTAGACGGAATTGGGAATCACCAGGCAGATAAGGAAAAAGAGAGCTTTCCAGAGAGGGAAAAACGCATGGGTCATTCAGACAGTATTGGATTAGGTGATATGAGGGAAAGGAAAGTTTGTTGAAGATTTATAAAGAGAAGAAAATACTGATGCTTTCTGGAACCTCCAAGATGGTGGCAAAATACAGTTTTGACTGTTTATCTGCCACCCGACAATTTCCTAAGAACCCTCTAGAGCCACAAAACTCAGATGATAGCTGGTACTAATGAACAGAGGATCTGGTTTATCAGAGGATCTGATGAACAAAGTGGCTGGCTGGTATGAACTTCTTCAGAGCAGGATTTCTTAGGGATTGGAAGCCCAGCCTTTACCTTCAGTTCTATCGGGCAACCAAGATTTGTTCATTATGATGAAAATAGAGGCTCTCTGACTAGAGCTTCTTCAACTTTCTGCCTTGTTCTGCCCAGCAGGTCTAGAAACTGCCCTCCTGTCTCTCTCCTATTCTCTAGGCTCAGTGGGAAAAGGTACTTTTTTCTACTAGTGGGTAATCCCTCCAGCTAAGCTCTGACTTTGCCTTTTCCTACTTTCTTAGATGCATCATGCCACCCATCATCCTCTTTCAGGAGCATATTTAATGTCTCATTGGCTACTTAGATCTGAGCATTAACCCACCCAGCTTAGATTATGGCCACACCCCACTCTCCGAGTCCTCTGTTGCTCCTCTCATGTCCATAATAGTTATAGGGCAAATATGACTACCTGCTTGCTTGAACCTTCCAATTGTTCTCCATTGCATTCAGAAAACAAAGTGCAACTCCTTAGCTAGGCATTCATGAGGTACCATGATCTGGCCCTCAGCCGCTTCATACAGGATAATGCCTGCACCCTCCAAAAGATTTTGCCATATCCCCCTCATGTGCTAATATCTTCTCACCCCTTCCTGCCTTGGCAACTGCTGCTACTTTATAAAAGACCTTGTCTAACTCTCCATTCACTTAATTCTCTCAGCCATCTATGTTGCATCCTTCAGAGCCTCTGAGGAGCTCAGAGATCCTGGTATTTACTTCCGCCATGGTTTATCTGCAGCACTAGCATGAGGCACTGCATACAGTAGAAACTGACTAGTCGTCGTAGAAGAAATGAATGAAAAGATGAACTGAATGAATTACACTTGTGCTGATCATGATGCTGCCTGTCTGGGACACTGTGGGGAACCTGGTGCTGCAACTCACTATGTTGGTCATGCCCTGCTGCCCTCTTCTTCTATGGCAGGCTCGTCAGATCCTGGAGCAGACCCCAGTGAAGCAGCTGGTGAACTTCAAGTGGAGGAAGTACGGGCGGCCTTACTTCTGCATCCTGGGAGCCTTGTATGTGCTCTATATGATCTGCTTCACCATGTGCTGCATCCACCGCCCTCTCAAGGCCCGTAGTGGCAACCGCACAGATTCCCGAGACGTCACCATATTCCAGCAGAAGCTGCTCCAGGTGACTCTTAGAGGGGATGAGCGGGGCTGATAGCATGCAGTGATGGCACTGGAAACCAGAGCCACACTGCCCAGGAGATATGCCACTCCCTTGACTCTGGAAGGGTCAGGCTCCTGATCACCTGGGCAGAAATTAGGCGGGAGTTAAGAGGACCAAAGCTGGGGCTCAGTGAATACAAGTGGACTTGTCCAGGAAGTGATGGCTTTCTTGTGAACTTTGAAAGAATGCTTGGTTTACCTGTGCCTTTGTAAAATCCCTTGTTACTCACAAAGTTCTGTAGACCAGACCTTTGTAAATGTGACCTTCAACAGAAGCCTTGTTGTTCTAAAGGGAGGAAGAGTGTGCTCCAGGTCCATTTTCTGAGTCTGCCAGTGGTCTGTTAGGGTCACACAGACATTCTTCTGACCTGCATTCGCTTCTGAACACAGTCAATATGAGTGCATTGAAAGTGCTGTATCAGCTGTCTGACCACCTGTCAAAGGTGCTGCAGAGGATGCCTGGATTGGGTATCAGTTGGAAGGAAATAGTCTCTGGGGTCCCTTTTACTCTGGTGAGCTTGTCATTCTGTGAGTCACCTTCAGAGACCTGGGGTGAGGATGACTGAGCGGAGATGTGGAGTCAGGGTCCGGGTCTGCTGTTGAAAGGAGCAGACTTCTTGTTGTGACAGAATGAGCAGGCTCTCACAAGTGCTTCTAGGCATGTACATTCAACACTGGGTTCATTTAATAGGTAACCGAAATCCTTGTCCTAGTGACCTGAAAATACCTAAAAGGGAGTGCAGGCATGTGGGCAGAAAGCAAAAGACAGAAGAGGAACAATTTTGCCAGGCAAGTAAGAGCTCAGTGGCTAGAGATGTATGCTCAATGCCGAATGGGTCAGCCAGAGGTATAGCTCAACCTGGGCTTGGAGAGGGGCAGTTTGGAGTAGTTAAGGAACAAATAACCTGAGTCGAGTTAGCTCAAAGGCAGTGGATACTCAAAGAAAGGACAGGGCAAAGAGCCTTACTAAATGCTGAAGTAGGTCAAGTCACTCCAAGCTTCTAGAACTGCCTCTTGGTGTATATACAGTGTTTGCTGCCTGCAGAACACAAGGCTGAGTGTGGTGGGGCTGCCTTGTTCGAGGCGGGCATAGGTGCATTCGGGGGAAGCTGGGTTCCCTGTGTCTCAGATGGGCCATGAAGGTTGTCCCTGGTGTGGAGACCATAGCCCAGGAAATAAGGACATGGACGGGACGGCCAACTGAGTTGGGCCAGCGAAAACAATGAAGGAAATGGATAAACATGGGGTTGGCTCGACATTTCCAGTGTTCCTGACTCTGATTCCTCAGATGCATTCTTTCCCAGCCTTCCTTTGTTTCAGGCTGACTGGGGGGATTTTCTGGATCTAGAATGTAGATAGCCTTCTAGCCAAAGAGTTGGGTGATGCTGAGCAACTGATTACCACCAAGACTCCTTCTTCTTTCTTACCTTCTTCTTAGCACCGTGTCTCCTTCTCTCTGTGGGAGGACTAATTATGTCCCTGTGAACATAATGTTCCTTTGACCCAAATTGTCCAGATAGTCTAAATTATTAGCAGCTACTTCCCCTTGCCTCAGGACTAGATGAAGCATAATTATAGCTAAGTGCTCTAACTTCCTTTGCATTTTCTCTTTTTCATCTCTTTTCCCCCTTCAGCATCCCCCTTGAGCATTTTCACCCTTTTGCTCACTTTGATAAAATCTACTTTAGCCAAAATAGAAGACTCATGACTTTCAAATATTTTCTTGGTTGGGGTAGGTGGGGCTTAAGAAAGCAGCTGTGAGCAGCTTGAATAAGGAAAGTATCAGCGCAGGTCTGTGTTTTTTCGGCATGAGCCCTTGGGCCTTGGTCCTGAGTTGATGGGGCCCATGTGTTTCTCTTAGTAGGAAGTCAATTGGGATTAGATCAGGGGCTCCCAAACTTATCACCATGACTTGAAAGATTCTGCTTTCATGATGTACCACATTTGTTGAATAGTATGAAATTCTTTTCTTCTACATTTCTATTACTTGAGAGTCTTAGAAATATGAAAATATACCAACATAGGGTATTAACTTGATTAATGCAGTTGTTTCCATATTAATTAGCCCACAGAGCTTTTTATTAGATAAAGGAGTACTTTTATATCAAATTCTATGAATAAATCTGGACTCACAGAGATCTCAGTCACTGTAGGATTTTCTCTGTGGGTCTCATGGGATCTAGAAAAGTCACTGGACTCCACGACAGTAGCCCAGAGCACCATCTCAAAACACTGGAAAGGAAACAAATACTCCTTTATTTATATAAGATGGCATAAACTAGGCAAAAGCAAGTCATAGGAAAGGGTGGAGTTTGGGAGCTATTTTAAAAAATGTCTTCACTCTAGGATGCTTCATTGCTCAGCCATAAAAGTTATGCTATTCCTGGACTTCCCAAGAACTCTCTTAATCAATAAGAGTTAATTTCCTGTCTTCATTCAATGTTTACTTGGTTTAGGCAGAACAAAGTGCATTATAATCCTAGTTCTCCTAGACTGCCAAGTGAGCAGACAGTTCGAAGTCTGGGATTAGATGGCTTAGATTTAAGTCCTAACTCTAAAACCAAATAGCTGTTTGACTTGAACAGATCCTATCTCTTGCTAGATCAGTAGTTTTTTAACCAAGACTACTTATTAGGGCTTCCTTAGTGGCTTGGTGCTAAAGAAACTGTCTGCCAATGTGGGACATGCAGGTTTGATCCCTTGGTTGGGATGATCCCCTGGAGAAGGAAATGGCAACCCACTCCAGTATTCTTGCCTAAGAAATCCCATGGACAGAAGAGCCTGGTGGGCTACAGTCCATGGTGTTGCAAAGAGTTGGACAGAGCTTAGTAACTAAACAACAACACCAACACATTAGACACATGGAAATCTCGTTTTAAAAAAAAAGTTACAGATCCTTAAGCTGCCCCATACCTGAGGCATCAGAATGTTTGAAATGGTGGCCCCTGGCAATGGTATTTTAAGAAACTCCTTGATTGATTCTCATACACAGTTTGAACTGAGATCTTCTAAGCTTTCTAAGGTGAAACTGATCACTCTGATTGTTAGACCCCTGATTTGCTGTTTAGCAAGAGGGCATTGATCTCCCATCATCAGATTTCCTTTCTGTGTTTTGATGATTTTCCTTGATCTCTCCATTGCCGTTTGCTTTGCTCCAAATCACTTTGTTAATTCATTCATTAAACAAACCACTACTGAGAGCCTAAGGGTGCCCCAAGCATTATTGTAGGTATTGGAAACTCAACCTGGTCTGAGCAAAACACTTCACCTCTGCCTTTTGGTGTTTGCAGACTGATTGACATTAATCAAATGAATAGAAATTTCATTGCAAACTGTGATTGTTAAAATTCACATGAGTTTTTCTTATCATAAGAAGACAGGATACTGAGAGATTCCTTGGAGGAGAAAATGGCAACCCACTCTAGTATTCTTGCCTGGAAATTTCCATGGACAGAGGAGCCTGGCAGGCTACAGTCCATGGAGTCACAAAGAGTCAGACACAACTGAGCATGCATGCATGGATGAATTCAGGGTGGAAAGTGAGTTTCTAGGGAGAGACAATACATATACAAAGGCTCTGAGGCTGGAAGAGCCTTGTGAATGTCTAGGAACTGAAAGAAGGCTGGCTAGGATAGAGGGAGCTGGGGCAGGAGCCTCCAGATTAGATTGTCCCAGCAGGTCTTTCCCAAATCATCTAGGACCTTACTGGCCATCCCAAGGATTTTACTCTTTATCCTAAAGCTAATGGAAGGCTCAGGATTTTAAACAGGGGAGACACTTGATAATACTTTTGTTTCAGAACAATGTCTCTGTTTGTAGGCTGGAGAACAGGTTTGAGGGGGCCAGGGAAGATGTGGGGGACCAGCTAAGAGGCTATTACAGTTCAGTGAAGAAAGAGAATAGTGGTGGATTGGCCTCAAGATGTGATGGGGAGACTGAGAGAAAGGGTTGGCATCAGGACACTTATTGAAGGCAGAATCATCACTACTATACAATGGATGGGATGTAGGTAGTCAGGGAGAGGACGTGGCAGGAGTGACTTGTGGGTTCTTTTTATTTGAAATCATCCTCTACCTGTCATGATCAGTGAGACTGCTTTTCTTCACAAATTCTTCACAAACTCCGCTATTCAAAGTGCCACAGTTATTTGAAACCCAGCTGTATGCCAGCTCGACCCTGCTTTACTTGGGGTCCTACCCAACTCCCTTTGGAACAAGCACAGCAAATTAAAGAGAAGACAGAGGTGGGAGAAGCAGAGAGCCCAGGGGGTAAAAATAACATCTATTGGGCGCTGGGTTTGAGCACTTGACATGCATTTGCCGGTGCTTCTGAGATCTTGTGAAAGGGCAGATTCAGAGAGGAAAGCTGATGTGGGCCCCGAGTTTCTGCATTTCTGACTCGCTGCTGGTGTTGTGATTCTGTGGACAGCATTTTGGATGCTAAAGTATGATACTGGGTGATCCTCATAGATGCCCTCATAAGTAAATGAGATTTTTATACCCATTTTAAAGATGGTGAATCTGAGGTTGTGAGAGGTTAAGTCCTTGGGTAAAGATGCTCGACTAGTAAGGGCAGTGCTGGTTGGGCTTCCAGTCTGGTTCACTTCAGAAGCTTCAACTTTAATGCAAAGTCAGAGAAATATGCTGGATTCCAGGCTTCTTCCTCAGAGGGACCCACTGCTTGAGGAACTCCTGTTTCCTGGCTTTGATAGGTAGCCAGCGCCTGCCACACTCACCTGTACCTGGGCACACCTGATATTTCCCCAGCAAGATAAGAGGTGCTGGAGTGCAGGAGTGGGGAGTCAGTCAGACATGGAATTGCCTCTGACCTGTAGCCACTGAGCTACTGCCTATGCTCTAGTGTTGATCATCAGCTCAGTTCAGGTCAGTTCAGTCGCTTAGTTGTGTCCGACTCTTCGTGACCCCATGCACTGCAGCACGCCAAGCTTCCCTGTCCATCACC